GTAAATAATTGGAGCATCCAACAATTAGATGTCAATAATGCATTTCTTTATGGATTTCTTGATGAGACAGTGTATATGGAGCTACCACCCGGTTATGATAAAGCCTCTTCACCTCAAGTTTGCAGACTTAAAAAGTCCTTGTATGGCCTTAAACAGGCATCAAGGCAGTGGAATCATGAACTGACTAAGAGACTAGAAAGTTTTGGTTATAAGCAGACTTCTTCTGATCATTGTTTGTTCACTCTTACCATTGATTCAGAGTTTGTTGCCTTGCTTGTGTATATGGATGATGTGCTTATTACTGGTTCTTCTGAGCAACTGATTTTTTTTACCAAGAAGCATCTTCATCAACTTCTTACTATAAAAAATTGGGATCAACCAAGTACTTTCTAGGTGTGAAAATAGCTAGGTCATCCATAGGAATTTTGCTTAATCAGAGAAAGTAATTCTTGACATCTTGGACAAAACAGGTCCCATGGGATGTGTTTATGTTGCTACACCATTGCCAAAAGGACTGATCTTGCATGATTCTCCCACTGTGTTGTTTTCTGATCCAGAACCTTACAGGAAATTAGTAGGGTTGCTCTATTTAGGCTTTACCAGACCTGATATGCTAGCTACTCAACAATTGAGTCAGCATGTTAATGCTCCCAGAGAAGCTCACTGGAATGCTGCATTACATGTAGTAAAATACCTCAAAGGCACACCATATTTGGGGCTGTTCTATGCATCTAATACTGATCTTCAACTCACAACTTTCTTAGATTCTGATTGGGGACAATGTCTCAAAACCAGGTTTTCACTAACAGGTTACTACATTTTCATGGGGACTTCTCTCATCTCTTGGAAGACCAATAAGCAAACAATTGTTTCTCGTTCTTCCTGTGAAGCTGAGTATATGAGTATGGCATCAACTGTTTGTGAGTTATACTGGCTGGCTTATCATTTTTATGATCCTCACATTCATTTGCAACTGCCTATCTCCTTCTGTTGTGACAACCAGTTAGCTATGCACATTGCTGCAAATCCTACGTTTCATGAAAGGACAAAACATCTTGATATTGATTGTCATGCGGTCCGCAATCAATACAGGAAAGGCTTCATTGATATTCTCCATGTAGGCAGTAAGCCTCAGCTAGCTGATGTTTTCACCAAGGTCTTGTGCTCTCCACAGTTTCATTACTTACTGTCCAAGTTAAGCCTTAGTGATCTTCGTAACCCCAAGTCTCAACTTGAGAGGGGCATCTACGATATTAAACAGCAATTTCAACAAGTGAAGATTTATCCAAAGTCAACCTTGTTGGAAGAACAAATTGAAGATGTTGATGCTGACCAGGAGATCATAAAGCGTGTGCTTCAACTCACATGATCACACATGTACAGCCGTATATTTTGTCCATATTAGAGTAGTCTGTATATGATAGTTTGTTCAGTTTAGTGACATGGATTTTGTGTATAAATTTGTATAGAAAGTAGGATTTATAATTGTAAATACAGGCTGGAAATTGTAAGTTAGAATGTCTATAAATAGACTTAGCAGTAATTAGTTTAGGGTTAAGTTTTACACAATTAATGAGAATCATATTTTAATTCTCTTTTCCAAAATGACAGAATTTCGGTTTAACTGTTTTCCTCCTTCTTCTTCTCCGAGCTTCGACTATGGAAACCCTAGATCAATTTTGAGTAGGCATGGCAAATCTGACCCTTGATTACCATTTTGTTTCAATAAGAATGATTACCATTTTGTTTAAGATAGAAAAGCGATTTCTCTTTCTTTGGCACACATTACATCCAGTATCTGGAGCTCGGAGGGAGCTAATAACATTCCCAAAAGGCTAGGTTTAATTACTGTGTCAATATTAATGTTTTTTTCAGTCGTGAAATCCCATCCATCTCCCTATAGGATTTAATTCTTACTTTTAAGAGATTCATTGATAGTTTTATCGCTAAATTAAAATCACATTCGATTTCAAGATCGATGTAGATACCCGGATATAGTAGAAGAGTTAAATTTAATTAATAATTATGCATGAGGAACTTGCCAATGTAGTTCAGAATGATTTTTTTTTTGTTGTTTTTTTTTTTTTTTGAAAAGAAAAAGTGAAAACCCATTTGCTAGTACCTCCATAAAATAGTTGAGCATGCATAAGGGTACGTAGAAAAGTGGATTAATTTGTGTGTGTTGTGGACATCAAAGTTACACGTCAACATAACTGTTCAAAATATCCATTAAAATTCATTCACAGATTCCTGTAATAGTTATATAAGCAAGATAGGAAGAAAACCTACAGTTTAATTAGAGGGGTCTTTCAAGTTTCAGCTGCACTAAGTATTAACGTACCTAATCACGAAGAATGTGTCGTTCTGGTAGAAATAGTGTGGAACTGAGAAACGGTTTGTGGAATGCCGAAGAAGACAATCGTTTGAGGAATTGCATTGCGCAGTTCGGTGAAGGCAAATGGCATCTAGTTCCAAGCAGAGCTGGTAGAAATGCTTCATAATTCAATTGATAAGATCAATCCAATGGTTTGAACTGAACTGATGAAGGTCTTTTGGTTGTGTCTTTTGATATTTTAACTACTTGTTTTATACATGCAGGTCTGAATAGGTGCAGGAAAAGTTGCAGGCTAAGGTGGCTGAACTATCTGAAACCAGACATAAAGAGGGGAGACTTCAGTTCTGATGAAGTTGATCTCATGATCAGGCTTCATAAGTTGTTAGGCAACAGGCAAGTTTTAAGAGTTTAATAATCGCGCTTTCATCATTGACTTGGTTTCTCCTTCATCTGTCTCAAAATGATTATCCGACAACAGAATTGATTATGTTGGCTGAATAGTCCTCACCGGTATTAGTTTTCTATTTGAAGAATCACATAGTACACCTTTTTTTCCTTGTCTTTTTGATGCAAAAAAATACTACACCCTCGGTCCTGAAAAACGGTTCATTAATTGTATTATTTTAGTTTGTGTTCAACAAAGTGGAATAGATAAAAGCATAAACGGAAATCCAAGAATACATCAAATTGAGGGAAATTCAGTATACCAGGCAGGGGTCATTTGGAACGGAAAGAATATTTTTTAGTTATGTAAAACAGTAAACGGGATTACTCATATAAAAAAGTTAATCGCTGATAATCCCGCAAGTAAAGTTTGCCTAACTAATATAAATCACCTCTTTGAACTCCTTGGAAAATTACGAGGGTCATACTCCCTTATATAATTAATTACTACCTCTCTCTCTTTCTTTTTTTTTTTTTTTAAATATGGGGTACTAGAGTGAATCTAAAACTTTTCTTTTTATCTGTCACACACTTTCCAATTTAACTTTGTTCTTTGTACAATGAAGAAAACTAATGCCTAAAATACTAGAACAATAAAAAATTATATTTTCTAAAATTATCAATAAAAATAATGAAACTCGCTACCAAAGTTAAATGATAATAACATTATGATTGTCCAACTTAATTGTTACACAAATCGCTCCATAAATTTTATAGCCTTCATGGTCTTGGAATCTCCCATGCTCAAACAGTATAGTGACACTTGAGCAGCATTCGTTCATGTGACAAAATAGATGAGAAGAGAGGAGACGAAACCTTAAAACTTGGGACTGTAGATCCCAAGGCCACGGTTCTAATTTAACATTAAATACAATTTTTTTTTCAATTTCACCTTTATTTCTCTCTACTTTTAATAACATATATTAATGATAATTACTTTTACTTTATACACTCCAATTTTAAATTTTTGCAGAGTTTCAACACTTTTAATTGGGGTAAAAAAGAAAATATACTTAAAAACTAAAGTATCAATCAGTGTTTTCTTAATCTTTGTATAAAACCGAAACCGATAGATAAAAGTAAACGAATATAGTACTAGAGAGTAGTACTCCTTCCGAAAAAACTTTAGTCTACTTTATTGTGAAATTCTTGCTTCACAAAATGTATTATTAAAGTGAGAAAGAGAGATACCTTGAAGTTTTAATTAAGTCTCACTCTTTCGTATTCTTTCTTCCTTTCTTTCTGTCTTTCTTTCTTTCTTTCCTTTTTTGAGGGGAAAAAAATTACAGTCTTGATTGTATGATTATTTTCATTACTTGACCTAGATGTCCAACACTCCAACGTAACGTATACTTTGCAGCCCGAAATCTCTAACAACAGAACATGCCCTTTATGTACAAAGGTATTACATACTCCCTCTGATCCTTAGAATGAAGTACTCCATCCGCTCCTTATTATAGTACATTTGACTTTTTCTAAGTTTCACTTAATACGGATTTTTAAGTGCAAAAAAAAATTTAAAAATATTTCATAACAAGAGAATACAAGAAATGTGAAAATATAATTTTAAGATTTTTTATTGACAAAAAATGCGAACTAGGTGAAACCTAAGACCAATCAAAATTTCTTATATTAAGGACCGAAAGGAGTATTTGATTTGACCTAAATTATTTTTAAATAATTTTTCAATTGAAAATAAAACTTTTAAAAGTGTATTTTCATTTTTATTGTGTTTTTGCAAATTTTATAGAATGATTCAGAGGTTGTAGTTTTTATTACAAAAATATTTTAAATAAAACTTAAAAATAAATCAAAATATCTTATCGCACTACAACAAAAATGAGTAGTTTAGACACTTTTTTGTGTCTTAATAAGTAGTGTAATAGGACACATGTGATTCACATTGCGTGGGACACTACTAAATAGTGTCTCTTATAATTGAGTCACAATAAGTCATAAAGCATTTGAAAGTGTATTATTAGATTATCACTTATTATGACACTTTAAAGTAACCCATTAAGTAGGGTAATAGTTCACAAGTAACCCCACATAGTATACTTATGATATTATTTATAATATGCATACACTTTTTTATTTTTAATAAGACATTTTTTAGTAAATGTCCTAATACACATATAATGAGACACATTTTGGAAAAAGTGTCCCACTATAAATGTATTAATAGCCCATTTTTATTGTAGTGTCGTAAGAAACAAAGGGAGTATGTGACACCATGTGTCAGAGCTATCTTCCGATATAGAAGCACACAACATATGAGCACAACCACCCAAAAACAGGAAAATCCTCGAAAAAATTCCCCTCTCTCCTGAAAGTAAAAGTCACATAATGCATTCCACTTTTTTCCATATATATATATATATATATATAGGTGGTCATTGATTGCGGGTCGAGTTCCTGGACGGACTGCAAATGATGTGAAAAATTATTGGAACACTAATTTGATGAAAAAGACTGTTGCAGTAAGAGCGACAGCTGCAGAAAAGGGCGCGTCGGCAAACTCTGGCAGCAACAGCAATATTAGCCGCAGCAAGACAATGGGGACAATATTCAAGCCTCGGCCCAGGTCTTTCTGTAACCAAATCTACGAAAACAACAAAAAAAAGGACGACTCGGTGATTGAAGAAATCGGAAGAAAATTTGGTGCTGCTGGGGGAACCCTCTTTCGGCTGGATCTGGATTTGCAAACTGACAAAAATGGAATTAATCACTGGTGGGACAATTTGGTTGATCTTGATGATCATGAAAAGGATCCGTACTTTTACGATGATAATAATACATGTCCTTTGTCCTTTGGTGGGGGCTCCGGCTCCGGCTCGGCATCGATTCTGGGTAATGATTTCTCCACAAGCCTGACCTGCCCTGATCCCCAAGATTTTTTGTTCAAGTTCGTTGAAGGGGAGGAGGAGGTGGTGGTGGAACAAGTTGGCGCCGCCTCCGCCGCCGCCCTTGATGGTTCTTCTTCCTGCTCCGGTTTGTTATCATCTGATTCTGATTTCTGGGGTCTGCTGCTCAGTACTCCTACTACGTACTGATCATCAGTTTCCATCAACCGGTGCGATTAATTTTCAACTTCTCTTTTCAATGCTTTACGTATATTACTCTGTGTTACGTTAGGGTTCTATTTCGTTTTGTCTTGAACTTCAGAGAAAAACCCAGAAACAACGGAGATTCGGATATTCCTTCTCCCAGCAAATGCCCTGCCAACCATATCCTCGTCATGGACGTGGTTGGTATATGCATTAGTTGATGGAATTATTACAAACGTACTATATTGTTTCAAGATTATCAGAATGTTATGTGTGTTGAAGTACCTTAGTTCAAATCTATATGAACCTCCGACAAACATGTGTTCAGTCCACGTTTTCGTGTTCATTTTTATTTTTTAAAACAGTACTAAAAATATAATGCGGTACTCCCTTCGGTCCTTGATATACGACCTTTTGATTTGTTATAAATTTTATTTTAGTACGTATTTTTAATTGACAAAAAAATCATAAAAATATATTTTCACATTTGTTGCGTCCTTGTGATCGTTATGGAATATTTTTAAGGTTTTTTCGTCAATTAAAATGCATACTAGTCAAACCTTATGACAAATCAAAATACTACATATCAAGAAAAGATAGTCTAGAGTAGGAATGAAAAGCTGTGTTGGACTTTGTACCAAAAAAAAAAAAAACAAAACAAAACTGTTTGGAAATGTATGAATGTCAAATTATTATCTTAAAAACAGAACTAAAATTATAAATATCGAGCGCAAAATTTAACGATAGTTGTGAAATGGATTAGAACAGTGAGAAGGCTGTTCACAGAGAGCTTATAGTGTAAATTAGAAACAAAATAACATAACCTTAGTTTAAGCACTGCGGGGGGTTAAACCATATGTTATGACGGGGGAATTCGTGTATCTTTACGGACTCTGTTATTAACTATATTTTCACTGACATTATTTGTAAGAAGAAGACTAAAGATTCACATTTGGAAAAATATTTAAATTTAATCCACACTTTTTTAAATAGAATCAGAGTGAATATTTATTAATTAATTTTAACAATAATACTGTAAGTTTTATTTATTTTGTGAACTATACCATAAGTAACTAATAAATGAAAAGGCTAACAATAAAAAACAATACAATTAGTTAAACAAACTGTGGATGAGACTATCGTAGAGTACTTGATTAATGGTTCGAGGTATACTGTAATTCACTGGGATAGTTAGGACTTAGAAGTCTTAGTAAGACCCTAAAACACACACTTATTGAGATAGATCTCAGTGAAGTATTTGAATCTGGAAAGTAAAAATAGTAACTGGCGGTAAGTATAAATACTCATTGCTAGCTACTACTACGTTCAACCTAGTGGTAGATTGATCTTAAACGTAATTTGCTCTCAAACACATAAATTGAAAAGAGGCATTGACCACTCTAGGCTAGGGTAGAAAGCGTGCAGTGTGTGTAAAATATTACTCATATTTCTACGTTAGCTAGTATTAGAAGTAGTAGTATATAATGTTAGGACAAAAGTTTTTCATTGTTTTTATGGGATAGGCGAACGTGACACTTTTGTAATCTTCCTCTTCGGTGATTAATTACCACATCCCTGTCACGTACTTGCAACATTGAATTGATTTTGTCTTCAAACCCCGATTTCAACTGTACTACTAGTGTTTTGCCCTTCTTTGCCAAAAGGCTATACCACACATTTTTGTGGTTTTCATATCTCCAACAACTGAAAATGATGAAGGTGATGATAGGTGTATATGGTTCGTTGAAGTTAATTACTCTCTCTCTCTCAAAAAAAAAGTCTATATTAATAAGTACAAATCTCAATGGTGTAATATAAAGTATTTGGAGGGAGAGAAATGACAGAAAATTTAGACAGCAACCATTTAGATCCACATACAAGATTTGAAGGGCTACAAAAAAAAGAATTGAAATGGAAGTTTCAGTCACAATGTACAAAAAAAAAAAAAAAAAGGCAGAATGATCCGGCTTTTATTGCAGGGATTAGGAGTCCATGTTTGATACTTAGATCATGTAATAGAGGAAGGTTTCAAATTGTTCAGTGACTTGTTCTTGAAGTAATGAAAGGTTTACAATTTGACTTTAAAAAACAAGTGGAAACCTCAAAATTCAACCTAGATTTTTGGAACAAATGGCATAGTATTTGATAACCAAAGTTTTTACCGAAGATTATTTGTAACTTGTTTGCTGTATATTTAGGCAACAATTGTGGCGTATATCATTCGACCTTAGAAGATGTATATATATATATATATATATATATATATATATATATATATATATATATTTATAGAACAACTTATTAACCGATCGATGCTCACCAATTTAGAGGGTTATGAACTTATGATAGAGTTTATTTTCTCTTTAATTGTGGTGTTCAAAACCAGGGATTCACTAAGCAATGTAGTTTGCACTTTGCACCCTACATGAATAGTTCATATACTTTAGACTTTGACAAGTTTTATTAGCGAATCATTTTGTACTTTAGACTTGAAAAAATATATAATAATATTTCATACGTCCCCAAACAAAATTTCACATTAAGTTTGAAATTTATAATATTTTAAGTACAGTTACAAAAATCTATGTGACCTAATCTTGGGACAAAATAAGTAGTAGTTTACTTGATGATATATGTAATTGAAGGTATCTTATAGGTTAAAAAAAAAAAAAAAGATAATGACACAAAGTATTTGGTCTTTCTGTTAAGCGCTTATTAGGAAAAACAAATTTAAGCATAATCTTTTTTTATTTGTTCACAGTGGTTAAAAGTTTAGTAAATGCAATAATATTTAAATTTTTGTTAATCCCCACCAAAAGATTTAGGGTCCCTTTGGTTGTATGGATTTGGGGCTTGGATTTGGATTTGTAGCCCCGAGACCCAAATCGTGCGTTTAGTAGCACAAGAATCACATAAACTTGAAATAAGACTTGAGGACTCATATCCCTGTGGATTTTGGTAACTCGCGGATCTCATCCGAGTCATTTACGGGTTATAACCTAATCGGATCCACTGAACCTAAGGATTTTAGTCCAGTACGTATTAGGAGATATATATATATGGCATTGAACCGTAAACAACTCTGCCAAACAGTGCTTTTCGTTTGCGAGTTTTATCAACACCCATTTGGCCGGACTATCGGAGCAATTATTCATATCTTAGGGCTGATTTTTCTAGTTGGATAAGGCTCCATTATCTCCACATTGCTAGGTAGGTGTAAAAGGCTTTGAAATCAATTCTGCAATTTTAGAATGTGGGTTTTATGGTTTTTTTTTTAAAGTGTTTTGTTGTATAACCAAGTTGGATTTTTAAGATTTTTTTCATCAATTAAAAATGCGTAATAGGTGAAACTTAAGACAAATCAAAATGTCTTATATTAAGGACCGGAGGGAGTATTGTAGAAGGGATTGCTTACCCAAGTCAACCCTTCAAACGCATGAACTTCTCTAGTTGTGAAAAAAGTAAAGCTGCAGTTTCATGAAGAAAGAATCAGACAACACTCTTTATAAAGTCAACAGAAGTAAAAGCAAGAATAGAAGAGATGAAGCCTGCTGCTAAGTAAGTCTCACATATATCAATCATCAGTTTCATGATAGAGTAGTCATGCCGACTAATGCCATATGATTTTACATACTGTTCCTCCATCCTCTTTAAGACTGCATCTAAACTAGGAATGCGGAAGTTTGGTGGACGCGAAGATGCAAATGTTACAGAAAGTTTAACTTCCCCCTGGCAAGAAGAAGCAATATCTATACGTGAACAATGCAAGGACCAACTTCACAACATAGAGGGAATGCGGAAAAAGAAAGAGTTCAGCGTAAGAGCTAAGGAAACCCAATAATAACAAAACTGGCCTACATCTTCCAAGATAACAGTTTTTAGTATTCTTTCTCAGTAACACCACTCAAAGGAGTTTTTGCATTTTAAGCTGGAAACATATTATATAAGAAATATGATTTACCAGGGGAAACAAAATGGATAGAGGATGTTGAAACTCTGAGATCTCATCAGCATAAGATTCCGGTACATTCTCCGTATAGGCCTTAAATAATGGCTGCATTTCTTGTTCATCAGTTTTTGGACAGTCGAACTGGAGTTATATATATACATCACAATCGTCATCTGGTTTTGGCCTTGGTGATCAGATTCATTGTGAATTCTCTTTGCATCTACATGGGAAGAACTGCATTTCTGTCCTCTTGGAGGACAATCTTGCATATGTGTGAGAATGCCATCTTCTGTATCACTATCAACGATATAGCAATGAGCAGAAGGAATATACTCTTTCTTACAACAGATCTAGAAACAGCGTAATGGTGTGGCCAGTCATTTTTTCCGATCAGAACTTGGGGATACAAACACCACAAAAGCCTGATTTGTGTGGCTTCTTGATAATATTGGCTCATCTCTTTAAGTGGGACTTTTGGCTTTCCATTGACTGTTTCATCACACAAACTTCAGAATATGCACGGGGAGTATGACCTGTGAAGGAAGCAACCATCCCATGAATACGGTTTTGATCTGCAACTCCACAAAATTTAGAAGGAAATGATCATTTTTCTGTTACATTTTATTATGTCTCCATTAACATTTTCAGGGAAATTCTAATTTGTTAAGATGGACTATAATAAGGGTTAAATCAATATAATCAAATCATGTCAGTTTATGAAACCTTATATATATTTTATAAAAGGAGAGTCAACATAACTAAATTATGATAGGTAAATGGGCCATGAAGCCTAATACAGTAAGAGGGAAATCCATAATTATAAGCAAAAGTAGGAAAATGGTACTCCCTCTATTCCAAAATTATTGTCCAGTTTGAGATTTCATTTTTAGTATAATTTGAACTAGAAATGAAAACCAAAATTGGATAATAATTATGGGACAGAGAGTATTTTTTTTAATCTTATCAAGATTCGTTTGGTACACAAAATCTTTTCAGTAATTACTCTTTGCAACGTGATAATGTCAAGCAAGTAAATGATACGCAAAGATGATTTGGCTCCTTCCATTTAATTAACCCATTCAACTAACCTCGTGAAAGGTGCTGTCTCTGCACGTTGTCTGAATTTTCCTATTTCTTACTCTGCTGCGCTGCTTCCTAAGATCCCTTCTGAACTCTGGAGAAACTCAGCTACTTAACTCTGCTTTTTTTTTGCTTCTTGTTATTCAACAAAATTAGGGTGTCTCTATAGCTGATAATCATCCCCATCTGGGCTCTGTGATCATTTCGGTTCAATCAATCAAGGTCAGAGCTTGTTCATCTGCATCATTGGCAGTTGGCACCTTCGTTTAAGAATGGCATTACCAAGCCACTTGGATCAGGAAAATCCAACCACAAATGATGATGAAGAATCTGTTGAAGCCCTTTTGGAGAAAATGAGCATCATCAATGCTGGCAAAATACAAGACCAAGTACTTGAAGAGATTCTGGCCAAGAATTCCAAAACTGAGTATTTGGCCAGATTTTTTTCAGATGCTGATGATGATGTGAAGCAAGTTCTCAAGAAGAAGGTCCCTTTGGTTGATTACACAGACCTCTTGCCTTATATCCAAAGGATTGCTGATGGAGGATCACATCATATACTTTCAGCTGATCCCATTCTTGAGTTGATTTCCAGGTTCATTAATTTATTAGTGGTACTACATTGATCGCTACTCCCTCCGTCCCTACATGATTGTCCAGTTTTCGTATTAGTTTTAGTACAGCAAACGGGACAATCATTTCGGGACAGGATGAATATTACATTAGTTGTAGTTTTTCATCACAATACTCACAGCGGGGTTCAAAATGTGTGCAGCTCAGGGACTACAGGAGGGAAGCACAAATTGTTTCCTGGTACTGCTAAACAGCTAAGTCTTCAGGCATCAGTTGTCAAATTTGCTATCAATATATTAAACAAGTAAGCATTCTTAAGTTTATGACAATATTAGAACTTGACATCCAACTCAAAACCAATCGGCAAAGAGTGAGGTGGCTCAGGATCTTATATCTTGATATCCAGTTGGTTAACTTTCTACTGATGCTTCTACATGGTAGTAATTTTTGCAGATTAATCTAACACTGATTGAGTTAATTACATTCAAACTACTTCCCCTGAAATTTGTAAAAAAAAAAAATACTTAGTATAGCCCTTTGATCAACCGACCTGGTAAAGTTACAAATCTAATATTGGGATTGATCAGGCACTTTGTTGATGGTGATCAGCATCTGAAAGGGAAAAGAATGTTTCTTTATACCATGGCACCTGAATTCACTACTCCAGGCCATTTGGTGGCAAGAAGTGGCATAGCCAGTATCATAAAAAAAAGCCTGGCAGGATCACCGTCTTCCAACCCTCCTGATGCTATCATCCCTCCGGAAGTCACGTTGTGTGAGGATGTGAAACAAAGTATGTACTCCCAGTTACTCTGTGGTCTCCTGCAGAGAGAATCAGTCATGACTTTCGGGACAGTTTTCGCTGCGGGTTTTGTTCAGGTGATGAAATTTTTAGAGCAACACTGGGAAGAACTTTGCTGTAATATAAGACAAGGCCGAATCAGCGATTGGATTGATGATCCGAAATGCAGGGGAGCTTTATCTTATATTCTGACTACGCCAATGCCAGCATTGGCAGACGAAATTTCAAAGGAATTTGAGAAAAATTCATGGGAAGGAATCGTAAAGAAACTTTGGCCTGGAGCCAAGTTCATTGAGGCTGTGGTGACTGGATCTATGGCTCAATACATCCCAAAGCTGGAGTTCTATGGTGGTGGACTACCGATAGTTTCATTGATGTATGCCGCATGTGAAGGTAATTTCGGGATAAATCTCAAGCCATTGTGTGATCCTGATGATGTCAGTTATTGTCTTGTACCGTGGATGGCTTATTACGAGTTCTTGCCGGTTGATCCAATCTCTGAGGATGATGCAGCCGATATCAATAATGGCAGAGTTGTTGATCTTGCTGACGTGAAAATTGGTCAACATTATGAATTGGTGGTGACAACCTTTTCAGGTAATTGAAATAACTTCTTAAACTCCTAACAATTCATACAAATAGGAGTATATTATTTTACGAACTGGACTATTGAAATGGAACGGAGGGGAGTATGAATGTATTGATTGATTTGTGTGTTGTGCTTATAGGGTTGAACAGATACAAAATGGGAGATATTCTAATGGTGACAGCATTTCACAAGAATGCACCACAGTTCCGTTTCGTGCGAAGGAAAAATGTGGTACTGAGCTTACTGTCAGATAAGACCACGGAAGAAGACCTAATCAAAGCGACTTCAAAAGCCATAAACAGCATCCTTGAACCACATGGTTTTTTCCTCACTGACTACACTAGCTATGCCGATTCGGGTTCCTTTCATTATGTACTGTTTTGGGAGCTTCAAAATCATGGAGAACTTGGAGTACAGGATAATGGATTTGTTGAAATGATGAAAGGATGTTGTAATGTAGTGGATCAATCATTGGATGATAAATACAGGTACTACCGAATTCACAACACCATCGGTCCCTTGGAAATTAAGGTTGTGAAACAAGGGACGTTTGATGCGCTCATGGATTTCACGCTTTCTCGCCGAAAATCTACTTCTCCTAGTCAGTACAAACCGGTTAAGTGCATTACATCTGAGGATGCCATTCAGATGATGAATTCCATGGTGATGGCTACGTTTTTCAGCGATTGAATGGCGTAGTTTTCGACTTTAAATGTGGTTCCATGTACTGTTGAATTCCACCCTGATACCGATCCATGTATCGTTGCTTGCATGAAAATCACTCGGGTTCTCCATTTTACTGGAGGCGTTGTGCTTGAATCTGATTGGCATAGATAGCACAAATTGTTTCATTGATAAAAGAACTAGTAATTTGTTTGATATTGAATTTTGAAATTGTGAGCTCTATGGTAGAGGTGTCTGTAACTTGATTGATTCTATATTTTGCTCCCGTCGATTCAAGTTGTGATTATGTGGTGATTACTGATTAAACCTAATCACAAGTTGTGATGAGCTTCCAACTCACATTGTTCAGATTTAATATTTGAGCACAAGGTTGGAGCTAGTGCTGGAAGTACTAAATTTATCAACAAAAAGCTCATTTTAAAGAATTCTGTTGGATTTGTGTTTGTGTCTGATTAGCCATTTTGAGGTTAGACAAGTTCTTCAACTTAGGGATAAGACTGCAACGATGATGCACTGTGACTTCAATAAATGTCAGCAAAGGGAATAACCAGAAAAATCACGCTGTTATATGGAGTTCTGAAGACAAGACTTATTTTGACGGGGAAGATTCGCGGTGATCTTTGCAATATATTATTTTGAAATTAATAAATTAGAAGAATCAAATTGCGTTTTGTATATTTGGGATCATTAGCAAGAGATAGTCCAGGGGGATGTCAACGTTTAGTAGAACCACCAGACAGTATCAAACCGTGGCTATAGCACGACATTGTCGGGGTCTCGTACCCATGTAATGTAGTTGTTTGAGCAGTTTCAGGCTTTTTAGCCTCTTCTATTGTTAAAAAAAAAAATTGTGTTTTGTAAAATGTGCTGTCTTAGTGCTGTAAAGTGTAAACTAATGTTTTGGGAATGAAATGAATTTATCTTTCTTTCCAAATTTTTATATCCACTCTTGCCCTGATTCCTTTGTTCTTCTAACCTCTGAAACTTTTTCTCTGATTCAAAGTTCTCATCAAGTTGACGACATAATGCTCCTTGTTGTTCATCAAACAGGGTTTTTTCCCGAGTTGATGATCATCCACATTTGCCATTTGGGTTTCATCTTCTCTATATCGAGTCAACGCGTGTTCATCATCTGCTCTGACTTTGGTCACCTTAACTACTTTCTCCCCTCAAAAAAAGACAAACACAACTAGAAAGCCAATGCTTTGTTCAAGTTTTGCTTCAAATCTTTTAATCATTTCCTCATTTTGGATTTTTCAAATTTTATTAATTGATGAAGGATGGAGAGCCACATCAAATTGTTTCTGCTGACCCCCCATTCATGAATTAATTTCCACACTCATAAATTATATCCATTTGCATTCAGGGCAGTTCATTGCTTGGCCAATCTGCTGTTGCTAAGAGGGACTATAATAAGAGTTAAATCAATATAATAAATCATGTCAACCCTTATTTAGCAAAAGGAGATTCACGCATAAATAAAATAAACTATGTCACTTAATATGTGCAAGAAAAACAGGAACACACTACTATATATATATATATATATATATATATATATATATATATATATATTTAATCTGACCATGATTCGTATGCTACACTAACAATTTTTTTTAATTATTATTATTTCTCACCGATTATTCGTTCTAACTTTGATGCTGTTTAGCAAATAAATAATGCAAAGATGCTTTGGCCCCTTTTCAGCATGAAATGTGCTGTCTCTCTGCATGGTTTCTGAATTTTCTCCATTTTCTTACTCTGCTGCCCTGTTTCCTGTAATCCTTCTGAACTCTAGAAACATTTCAGCTTCTCAACTCTGATTTTTTTGCTTCTTGTTGTTCATCAAAATTTCATTGTCTCTAGCTGATGATAATCATCCCCATTTGGGATTACATTGCTTGTTGGATTGGTAGAATCCAACCATTAAAAAAAAAATGATGATGAAGAATCTGTAGAAGCCCTTTTGGAGAAGCTTGTTCTACATCGTCCCCTGTTCTGATTCCTTTTTTCTTCTGACCTCTGCAAACATTTCTCTGATTCAAAGGTCTCATCAGGTGACAAATTGTTCATCCAACTGGGTTTGTCCCATAGTTGATGATCATAACCAGTTTGCAATTTGGTTTCATCTTTCTCTAAATCGAGTCAACGCTTGTTTCATCTGCATTGGCACCTGCTGTGATTGTTTCTGATCAAGTTTTGCTTCAAATCTTTCTTTCTTTTCTTTTCTGTTTTTTGGTTTCATTTTCCTGTTTTTGGAATTTTTTCAACATTTATTAACTGATCAAGGATGGAATTACCAAGCCTGGATCTGAAGAACCCAACCGCAAATGATGGTGTAGAAACCATGTTGGTTAAGATGACCATGGATCCCGGGAAAATACAAGACCAAGTACTCAAGGAGATTCTATCCAAGAATTCCAAAACAGAGTATTTGTCCAGATATCTTTCAGATGATGATGATCAAGTTGATGATGATGATGTGAAGCAAGTTTTCAAGAAGAAGGTTCCTTTGATTGAGTACACAGATCTTTTGCCTTACATTGAAAGAGTTGCCAATGGAGAGCCACATCAAATTGTTTCTGCTGATCCCATCCTTGAGTTGATTTTCAGGTTCATAAATTCTATGGTTTTGAAAAACAATTACTCCCGCCGTCGTTATTATAAAACATTTTGATTTGTCCTAATTTTCACTTAGTTTGTTTTTTCAAACTTTTTTTTTTTACAATCGAAAAAAAACATACTAACTGAAATTTAGGGCAAACTAAAATGCCTTATAGTAAGGACCGGAAGGAGTAAAATCTATCCTTCAAATTCAGTATATGATCAATTTCTCTATGAGTTTAGTAATATTCATCACAATATCCCAATGGTTTTTGCAGCACAGGGACAACAGGAGGGAAGCGGAAATGGTTACCTAGGACTGCTCACCACCATAGCCTTAATGCACCCTTTCACAAATTCACTCGAGAATTACTAAAAAGTAAACCTTCTGAATTCTTTGCAAAAAGTAGATTGATTACTTAAATTTTTTTCTTATATTAAGTGTAGTTGTAATTCAGATGCAGCCAGATGCAGGATAAGTAAGTAAAACTTATTGGAAGAAGAAATGTGTTTGAATATGCCAGCTATTTGACTGTTTCACCTGTTTATATGATATAGATCCAAGTCTTGTAATTTTTTTGCAGATAAATCTGGTATTAATTGAATTATATTTTCAACCTCCCTCCCCTGAAGTTTTATTTTATTTTATTTTATTTTTTTTTGTGACAAGTATACTGATTTGATGATCAGGCACATTGTTGATGATGATCAGCCTCTGAATGGAAGAAAAAGACTGTTTCTGTATAACATCGCGCCTGAATTCACTACTCCAGGCCGTTAAGAGGAACCATAACCAGCCTCATAAAACATAACCTGGCGAAAGCACCATATTTGAATCCTCCCATCGCGACAAGCCCTCCAGAAGTGCTAATGTGCGAAGATGTGAAACAAACTACTTACTGTCAGTTGCTTTGTGGTCTGCTGATGAGAGAGTCTGTAATGATTGTCGGGACGATTTTTGGGGGTGGTTTTGTTCGGATGATCAAATTCCTGGAGCAACACTGGGAAGAACTTTGTGATAATATAAGACAAGGGCGAATCAGCGATTGGATTGATGATCCGAAATGCAGGGGAGCTGTGTCTGATATCTTGTCAAGCCCGATGCCTGAGTTAGCCGATGCGATTTCAAAGGAATGCGAGAGTGAATCGTGGGAAGGAATCGTTAAGAAACTTTGGCCTGGAGCCAAGTGCATTGAGGCTGTGGTGACTGGATCCATGGCTCAATACATCCCACAGGTGGAGTTTTACAGTGGGGGCCTGCCAATAGTTTCGACGGTTTACGCCTCATCTGAAGGTGTTTTTGGAATCAATCTTCAACCTCTGTGTGATCCTTATGATGTCAGTTATTGCCTTGTACCATGGATGGCTTACTACGAGTTCTTGCCTGTTGATCCAATCTCTGAGGATGATGCTGATGTTGTTGATCTTGTCAACGTGAAAATTGGTCGACATTATGAACTGGTTGTGACAACCTTTTCAGGTAAATTAAATGCATGACACAGTATTTTCAACTTCTTGATTTTAAAGACAAAGCTGGTTAGTATGATTTGTGTGTTGTGTTTATAGGGTTGTACTGATACAGAATGGGAGATATTCTGAGGGTTACAGCATTTCACAACAATGCACCAGAGTTCCGATTCGTGCGAAGGAAAAATGTGATTCTGAGCATCAACCCGGAAAAAACTACGGAAGAAGACCTAATCAAAGCGACTTCAAAAGCCATACACAACATCCTTGAACCACATGGTTTTCTCCTCGCTGACTACACCAGCTACGCCGATTCGCACTCCTTCCCTGGTCATTATGCACTGTTTTGGGAGCTTCTTCAAAATCATGGGGAACCTGGAGTACAGGATAATAATGGATTTGTTGAAATGATGAAGGGATGCTGTAATGTGGTGGATGAATCATTGGATGAAACATATAGGTGCTATAGAACTGCCAATGTCATTGGTCCCTTGGAAATTAAGGTTGTGAAACAAGGGACTTTTGATGCACTCATGGACTTCACGCTTTCCCGCCAAAAATATACTTCTCCGAGCCAATACAAAACGCCTAAGTCTGTTACATCTGAGGATGCCATTGGGCTGTTGAATTCCATGGCGATAGCCACATTTTTCAGCGATCGAATGGCGTGATCTTTTGAGTTTTTAAGTGTGATTGGAATGGATGTTAGTCTTTGGAAAGTGTTTTTTTTTTTTTTTTTGAGCATTTGATGATACTACTCTGGCTGAGGTTTGTGACTTGTTCTACATTTTCCATCTTTTTTTTATTTTCCTTTCTGCTTGAATGATGCCTATATGTGTTGTTCAATCGCAAGTTTCTTTTTTACTTTGTCTAAGTGGTGAACTTGCTGCACCGACTGAACTGTCGGCCGGCAAAAAGGTCAACGCAAGAAAGGTTTCAACTTCCAGGTTCTAAATAATTTTGCAGGACCTTTAAAGCACAAGCGAAGGCGATTTGGTGAAGAATTACGTCATATGCATAAATTAAAACAACAAAACAAGTATACTCTTCATTGCCTACATCTCTGACACGCGGTTTTCATAATATATGAAGATCATTTTGCCCAACTCTTTTAGGTGGAATCATTGTACCATGTCACCTCTTAAAACCAGCACAAAAGAAATTTGTATTCGTAATCAATCTCGGTGTGAAAAAGAAGACTCATTCTTACTAATTTTACTCTTACATTTCATGAACAGCGGCAGTCACAGATCTGAATGCTCAATGTGGACTATTATTTTTTTTAAGACCGAGTGATTAGTACGGTATTGATCCGCATGGTAGCTTCACAAAATTTAGAAGGAGATGACAAATTTAGCGTGACATTTGATATTCATAATTAGCACTCAAGGCAGTTCATCGATTGGTGCCAATCTGCTTAGCCAAGATGGACTATAATAAGAGGAAAATCCGTATATATGTCAGTTTTAGGCAGCCCCATTAAATTTTCTTTTATTACAAATACAGCCTAACTTAATAAAAACGAACCATCAGTTACGCAGCCTAATAAGGAACATGTGGAAGAGAAAATTCACGATTGGTTTGCCGCACTATTCTTTTCTGTACCAGTGTACCTTCCTTTTGCGCTTGTAATTTAATTTGTTGGGGTCCTTTTGCATTTAAATGATTCAAAATTCAACTAACATGAATTTTTCTTTTGTCACTCTTGTGATGCGTTTTTCCTCTTTACACGTATGTGGTTGAAATTTGTTGAGAATATTCACCTCCGAAGAGTGGTTATTATTTAGGCTTTACCCTCATTTATTGTAGTTAAAAATTAAAAAAAAAAAATCATCTAACATGAAATGTGCTGCCTTGTTTCCTTTGATCCTTCTGAACTCTGGAAAAATTCAGCAAACTGGCCATCTAAGATCACTTCTGCAAATCAAAATCAGAGCTTGTTCATCAGCAGCACCATTTTCGCCTTCGGTAAGGATGGAATCACCAAGCTTGTTGGGTCCGAAGAATCCAACCACAAATGATGATGAAGAATCAGTCAAAGCCCTTTTGGAGAAAATGATCACCAATCCTGGGAAAATACAAAATCAAGTACTTGAAGAGATTCCAGCCAAGAATTCCAAAACTGAGTATTTGTCCAGATTTTTTGCAGATGCTAATGATGATGATGTGAAGCAAGTTTTCAAGAAGAAGGTTCCTTTGGTTGAGTACACAGATCTCTTGCCTTACATTGAAAGAATTGCTAATGGAGAACCACATCACATTGTCTCTGCTGATCCCATTCTTGAGTTTATTTGCAGGTTCATAAATTAGTAGTAGTACAATATGATCACTACCCCCTCCGTCCCAAAATGGTTTTCGAGTTTTTAATACGAAAAACAAAGACAATCACTTTGGTTTGTGTATAGTTTTCATCACAATACTCAATTCAATGAGATTAACAAAAATGTGTGCAGCTCAGGGACTACAGGAGGGAAGTACAAATTGTTTCCTGGTACAGCTCAACAGCTAGGACTTCAGGCATCCGTAATCAAATTGACTAGCTATATACTAAACAAGTAAGCGTTTCTCAATTCTTACACATGTAGTAACTAAACAATCACTAAAATGAAACATGTATTTTTTTCTATATTTTTTTTACAACTTGAGGTAATTTTTAGATGCAGGACAAGTTTGCTATAATATTACAACTTGGACCGGCAATGAGTGGGGTGATTCAATTGGTTTAACTTTCAAACATGGAACAATAATTCTAACAGACAGCTTTGTAATGTAGTAAATTTTTCCAGATTTGATCAAATGTTAACTAAGCTAATAGCATTCAACTTCATTCCCCTCAATTTTGTGAAATCAACTGATTTCCCTGATTATCAGGCACTTTGTTGATGATGATCAGCCTCTGAATGGGAAAAGAATGTTTCTTTGTACCGTGGCACCTGAATTCACTACTCCAGGCTATTTGGTGGCAAGAAGTGGCATAGCCAGTCTCAAGCGAAAAAGCCTGGCAGAATCACCGTCTTTGAATCCTCCCTATGTTATTATCCCTCCAGAAGTCACATTGTGTGAGGATGTGAAACAAAGCATGTACTGCCAGTTACTCTGTGGTCTCCTGAAGAGAGAATCCGTTTTGGCCATCGGGACAGTTTTCGGGGCGGGTTTTGTTCAGGTGATTAAATTTTTAGGGCAACACCGGGAAGAAATTTGCTGTAATATAAGACAAGGGCGCATCAGCGATTGGATTGATGACCCCAAATGCAGGGGAGCTTTATCTAACATCCTGTCTAGGCCAATGCCAGACTTGGCAGACGAAATTTCCAAGGAATTTGAGAAAAAATCATGGGAAGGAATCATAAAGAAACTCTGGCCTGGAGCCAAGTTCATTGAGGCTGTAGTGACAGGATCCATGGCTCAATACATCCCAAAGCTGGAGTTCTACGGTGGAGGGCTTCCAATAGCTTCAATGATCTACGCCGCATCTGAAGGTAATTTCGGGATAAACCTTAAACCTTTTGGTGATCCTTATGATATCAGTTATTGTCTTGTACCATGGATGGCTTATTACGAGTTCTTGCCGGTTGATCCAATCTCTGACGATAATGCTGATATTAAAAATGGCGGAGTTGTTGATCTTGTCAACGTGAAAATTGGTCAGCATTATGAATTGGTGGTGACTACCTTTTCAGGTAATTGAAATAGCTTTGATCTTCCAATGTTGATCAACTGTTACAATCAGGAAAAAGAAAAAAAAAAGTATGCTTGTTTTTCGAAGTGGACTATTAAAATCGGACGAAGAGACTATGATTGTTTTGTGTGTGACGTGTTTAGGCTTGAACAGATACAAAATGGGAGATATTTTAATGGTGACAGCATTTCACAAGAATGCACCACAATTCAGATTCGTGCGAAGGAAAAATGTGGTACTGAGCTTACTGTCAGATAAGACCACGGAAGAAGACCTAATCAAAGCGACTTCAAAAGCCATAAACAGCATCCTTGAACCACATGGTTTTTTCCTCACTGACTACACTAGCTATGCCGATTCGGGTTCCTTTCATTATGTACTGTTTTGGGAGCTTCAAAATCATGGAGAACTTGGAGTACAGGATAATGGATTTGTTGAAATGATGAAAGGATGTTGTAATGTAGTGGATCAATCATTGGATGATACATACAGGTACTACAGAATTCACAACACCATCGGTCCCTTGGAAATTAAGGTTGTGAAACAAGGGACGTTTGATGCGCTCATGGATTTCACGCTTTCTCGCCGAAAATCTACTTCTCCAAGTCAGTACAAACCGGTTAAGTGCATTACATCTGAGGATGCCATTCAGATGATGAATTCCATGGTGATGGCTACATTTTTCAGTGAATGAATCGTATAATTTTCGACATCGAGTGATAATGTATTAATCTAGTCTTTTAGGTTTTAAGCCTCTCTTATTGTAATGAAATAGAAAAAAAAGAACATTGCATACTCAAGATTTAACAGGTTTTGTAAGGGCAGACTATTCTTTTAGCCTCCGAGATTATATTCCGAAACATAGAAATGCTTTGACATAGTGGGATATTGAATAGGTTTTTAATCGGTATCTTTTTTTTTCTTTTTTTTTTTTGAAGATTAAAGTATATATTAAAAGATTAAAGAGGGTACTTGTACACATTGTTTGGTAATAGACAAGCCTATGTACCTTTTCTACTTGACATCTATCTACTTTAATTAAAGAACATCTAACAAACTTATGTTTTAGCTAAATAATTTTACCTATTCAAATATGAGATTCTACGAGGAAATCCAATTAATGCAAACGTTGCTCTTCTAAAGCACTACAGTCTGTATATACCGTAACATTCGTAAGACCCAATTGTGATGCAGCTTGGAAGGCCAATTTACACGCCTGCGCATCAGCTTGTGAGGCCGATAAAGCCTGTATTTGGACTGCTTTTATTTGTAAAATTGACCCTGTTGAGGATTTGATATTCCAAGCAGCACTTGCACGTCCTGTTAACTGTCGGTAGGATCCATCAAAGGTAATTAATGCTTGGCATCCTAGTAAATTCCACCCGCTCAAATTAACTGAGGTAACGCTGACTTCTTCATTTTCTAAATTCATCTCCTTTTGTCTAGCCTTGTTGAAAATTTTTTTGTTCATTTGGAAATCCTCAAATGCCAACTTCCAGACCAGATTGGGATCAAGTTGCTTAATTTCCTTCCTAGACTTCCTGATTTCGTGAGTTCCAAATCCACCAAACAAGATGGACTACCAGAGACCAACTATCCTCCATCGATGGTGTTGCCAGCCAGTTTTCAATCCAAGATCGAAACAAGATTGGAGGGTTGGAGGCAAAGTGGCTCCTTAATAAAGACAATTTCCAGATCTAGAGTAACCATTCGCACCTGAGGAAGAGATGATCCGTGTCTTCCTCCATCTGTTGGCATCGTGCACAAATCGGAGAAAGATCAACCCCTCGTTTATTCAGATCAACCAACGTTAGAAGCGCCGCCGTCAAAGCTCTCCAGGTCAGTAACTTATATTTAGCAGGAGCTTGCAATTTTCACAATTATTGCCACAATATTTCAAGTAGATACTGCGACATCAAGAGGATTTTTTCCTGCGATATTCATAGCTTGGTAGTATCCTGACCTAACTGTATACTGTCCATTTGGATTTGCTTGCCAAATGATCTTGTCATCTTGGTCTGTTAGCTGAGGATTGATGTAGATGCCTTGAATTTGGTGTATGATATCGTCTGAAAAAAAATTTCGCAACATGCCTAGCTTCCAATTTCCACTTGTAGACAGGAGATCTTTAACTTTGTAATATGCATGAGTGGCTAGTATTGAATCTGAATGGATTGGGTTTACCTGATTTGGAATCCAATTCTCATGGATTTTTATGCTTTTTCCTGAGATAACCTGCCATTTTGTCTGTGACCGTAGTAGCTCTGCCCCCCAAAGGACCCCTTTGAAGCCCCATGTTGTATTATTCACCTTACCTAGATGTAGGAGAGACTTATCATGGTAGTATTTCCCCTTATAGATCTGAGCAATCAAGAAATTTGGTTGAGTGACTGCTTTCCAAGCATGTTTAGCCAACATTGCTTGATTGAATTCTTCGGCTGATCTCAAACCTAAGCCTCCATGCAATTTAGAATAACATAATTTATGCCAAGCTCTCCAGTGAATTCTCCTCTCCTCCTTGTCTCCTTTCTATATGAAATGGGCAATTATTTGATCCACCTTTGTTAGTGTTGAGACTGGTAACTTGAACACTCCCATAGGGTACGTCATCATGGAGGAAAGTTAGTCTTTGCTAACATGATTCTACCCATGACTGAAAGCGATCTTGTCTTTCAGTCTGAAAATTTGGCCCGAATTTTCTTTTCAAAATGCTCAAATATCTTCTTTTTTGGCTGTGCGAAGTTGAGGTCAATTCCTAGATATTTTCCAAGGGAAGCCCCTTGTGGGAAATTCAGGAATTGGTGGAAATACCGTTCCCAGTCAGGGGGATTGGGACTAAACAGAGCTATTCAAACATATTCAAAATTTTCTGGATAGAGGGTCAATTCCCAGATATTTTCTAAGGGAAGCCCCTTGTGGGATATTCAGGAATTGGTGGAAATATCGTTCCCAGTCAGGGGGGTATTTGGACTGAGTAAAATACTAGACTTCTGAAAATTGACCCTATGTCCAGAAAACTTTGAATATGTTTGAATATCTCTGTTTAGTCCCTTGATTGCATCATTCTCCACTTCTAAAAAGAAAATAGTATCATCCGCATACATCAGATGGTTTATTTTCGATGTATGTCTGCCCAATCTAATACCCAAGCCCCTAATGGTTGTCGCCTCATGGTGGATGGTTGCTAACAGAACTTGCTGATAGAGAATAAAAAGATAAGGGGACATCGGGCAACCTTGTCTAAATCCACGTCTTGGGCGAAATTTCCTTGAACTCTCTCCGTTAAACAGAATAGAGTAGGAGACTGTAGTTACACAGCTCATAATAAGGGTAATTAAAGATGGAGGAAAATGTAATCGGATTAGTACTGCTTCCAAAAAATCTCAGGACACTTTGTCATAGGCCTTAGTCATATCGAGTTTTACTGCAACTATTCCAATACACCCTTTTCTGTTCTTGATATGCTGAATAAGTTTCTGTGAAATCAAGATGCTTTCACTAATATATCTTCCAGGCACGAATCCATTTTGCTGTTCATCTATCAAGGAATCTATCACAAGCTTGAGTCTTGTCGTGATCATTTTTGCGATGATTTTGTATTTCACATTGCAAAGGCCTATAGGACGGAAATATGAGGCTTTCTTTGAGATTTGGACTTTGGGGATGAGAACTAGATTAGTTTGGTTCCATTCATCATCTATGCATTGTTGTTGACATGATTTTAGAACACTTGATGTGACCAGACCTTTGACTTGCTGCCATTATTTTTGATAAAATCCTACAGGGACACCGTCAGGACCCGGCGATTTCCAGGGGGCATAGCTTTTATTGCTGCTAGGACTTCATCATTGTTGAAAGGTTGGCTGAGATATTGCACTTGTTCCGAGGTGAGCTCTCTTTGAATACGAGACAATACTTCTTGCAAATTTGTTGTCGGAACTTCATCATGATGTGGAAAAGGATTCGGATCAATGTAGATATGCTGAAAATGTCTTTGAATGATTTCATTTATGATCAGGGGGTCATATTGCCATTCATCCTGCTCATTTTGTAATTCTATGATCCACTTATTTCCTCTATTTCGGGTGGTCCATTTATGAAAAGATTTGGTATTAATGTCTCCTTGTAAAGGCCAATTAATCTTTGCACGTTGACTCCAATAATCCTGTTGTAGCTGTAATGTTTCTTCTAACTCTAATTTGAAGTTATTTAATACTTGCTACGAAACCGGATTCTGTAGGTCATTTTCCCATTTAACCTGATTGTGTTAGAGCGTTGCCATTAGCTCCTTAACTCTTTTGTCTAAACCACCAAACCTCTGCTGACTCCACTCACTGGCTTTAGTAAGACAGTTTTCCAGGCATGTTGAAAGATTGGTCGTAGGCTCATGGTCAGTAGACTGATGTACCACAGCCTCTTTGCCTATGATCTCCTGTACCTGCTTGCATATAACCCAGAAAGATTCAAATTTAATCTGCCGCTTAGTTCGAGATGGGCTACCCTTAAGTTCTAGTAAAATTAGCCCATGATCTGATCGCATGATAGGTAGATTGCGTAGATGAGCCTTATAAAAGAGCTGTATCCAGTCCTCACCCCTTTGCGGTTGTTGGACCATGCATACCAACACCCAAGGTGTTTCAGTTCTGACAGAGAGTGTTTCTTGATTATGTCTATGAGCATGTTTGGCTCATTATTTGTAACAACTCGCCCTCCCCACTTATCTTCCTGACTTAGAACTTGGTTGAAATCCCCTACTAGGATGCTAGGGTACTGTAAATTGGCTAGAGCCATACTTAATTGCTGCCATACAAAAGGTCAACCTTGTCTATGGGGATGTCCATACAAAAAGATGCCTAACCATTGTAATCCCCAAGGTTCGACAAACTTAGCAATAATAAAATTAGAGCTACTACTTAAGATAGACACCTGAATACTATTACACCAAAATAAACCTAAACCTCCACTTCTACCAACAGGATTAATTATAGTAGAATTCATAAAACTAGTACTTTGTTGCCACTTCCGCACTTTATCTTCCTCGGCAAGTGTTTCCATAAGAAACAGCACCTGAGGACAATATTGTTTAAGTAGTCGCGCCAACGTTTGAGAAGTAGGGGTCTTTCGTAAGCCCCTACAGTTCTAACAGAGGACTCTGATTGAAATTGCAGCGATTGATTTGGTTCAATCACCGAGAAAACCTTCCCTGCTCCTTTCCTGATTGCTGGTAGTGCTGGTGGTGGATATGATTTCAGCTTCAGTTTCAGCTTCTTGCCCTTAGGAATAGTCATAGGCGGGTATGTTCCTCTTGTGGCCAGTCATCCTTCCATCAGGAACTGACCAGAAAATGGTTGTATCTGTCTGAGTAAATAGGGCAGGTGTATCAGACTAGGTAGACTTTTTGTATGATTCTGCGATGACTGTTACCCCAGTTGTAACTTGTTTTCCGAGTCCTCTGAGTTCTCTTTTTCCTGATCTTATCCGTCTGCCTCAGCCTGCCAGAATCACTTTCAGCATCAGAGAGTAGCTCAAACAAGGCTGAAGTAGATACCTGATACGGGTTAAGCTGGATCGGGGAGCTGCTCGAGTTGATAGAAAATTGTCGGCTTTATCTTCCACATAAGTGGGTTTTTGGAAACAAAAGGACCCCTTCTTGAGTTTGTTGACGTTTGTTGCTGCCATTCCTAAACCATGTCATTTCGTGCCAGCAGATCAACTTCTACATCCTGTAGTTTTAGCCACTCCACATATTCTTTGGTCACTTGATGAACCTCATGTAAGTCCCCTCCGGGTTTTGTTGCCACCTGGAGAGGTTGTGAAGAGAGATGTTCCTTTTCTGCTAGGATTGGGGACAGTTTCGCAAGATTCACCATGTGATTCGGTTGGCTTGTTTTAGCTGCCTCTTCCCATTGCTGAGATGTACTACCTTCATTTGGAAGGTTTTGTGAACCATCCTGCAAAAGAGTATCTACCACCTCTGTCTACTGAAGTAGTTCTTCAGTCGATGTGAAGGCCAGATGTCCTTCCTCATTAACTCCAACATGCACATCACAGGGTGATGCATGATTATTGTGATTGATTTGGCCAGATGTTCCTTCGGGGCCAACGTGGTAGCCATGGTTGAAGGAGGTTGTTGCTAGCTGGTAGACAGTAAATAGATCCCCCGGCAGATTACTGTGGCCAACATCCATAAGGGTTGGGCCTCCTCCATTTGGCATACCTCCATGGAACTCGAGTTCTGCTGGCTGATTTTTGCCTCCATTATCCGAAGGGGAGGGGATAACTTCTGGGATATGAAAACCATTTTCAGATGGGTGAAATCCGTTAGCTTCAGGTTGCACGGGGGCTTCATTTCCTTGGTTGTCATCATCCATATGATCATTCGGGTCTTCCTCCTGCATCTCATCATTTAAATCAGGGTTTGAGGGATGTACCTGTTCCAAACCATGCTCGACTCTCATTGTAATTTCAAAACCATTTATAATGGTATTTTCATCAATAGTGGCGAAATAGTTCCTTTGACTATCAACAAACGTCTCTGTGGTGATGGAGGTTTGCTTATGATTTTTATGACCATGAGCCCTCATTGATTCAGAAAAAAGTTTTTTCATGTTGTCCTTCACCAGTAGAGCGTTGTTTCTAGCAGATTCATTGAAGAAGTACTCATCAAGGTAGGATTCCAATTGAGCATCGCTAAGATGGAGACACCTTGTGAGTGGGTGAGCGAGCTGGCCACAATGCATTCTTTCATAGCGGCACTCTAACCAGGTTTCCTGCTCTGAGTTCAATGTTACATAGAAGCTTGGATTGAGAGGTTCATGTGGTTTAATCCAGATTTTTGCTCGTATATATGTTGTCATAGATAAAGACTCTGCATCATCCATTACTTTTTCTACTTCACCCATTTGTTCTGCCAGGAACCTCACTCCCAGAGGGTTGAAGCAATCAAGCGGGACGTGATGAAGTCTGGACCAGATGGAGAGTTTGGTAACTCTGAGATTGCTGATGGAAAATTGGGAATTCCATCGATGTACCAGTAGGAGACCACCATCAATCGCATAAGGGCCATTGTGAAGCACCAGCAGCATCTTTTCTTTGTTTAAAAATTGAATTACATAGAAATTTCGATCACAGTGGATAATCTGGGCATAGAGACCCCAATTCACAGTAAGGAAATGTTGCATGCGATGCTTGTTAAAATTTCTGTCATCCAGAAAGTGGGCTAATAGACAAGGGGCTGCTTTTCCCTGCTTTAGGCCGTTGCATAATCTGGAAGTTTGATCACTTTCCCCCTTCTGTTGAGTCTAGGAACATGGTGTGGATGTATGTCCCGATCAGCCCTGTAGTCTCTGGCTTCTTCTGAAAAGGCTGGCCTCTGACCCAAATAAACGCTTTCAGATCTCTGATCTTCTGGCAGTATAGCAGCCATATATTAGTATGATCAGAAAATTAAAACCCCAAAACAATTATACTTGCTTAGTTTCTGTAGCAATAACTGTAATTTGGAATTTAGTATGTTGTAAAGCTAATAACTAGAAGGTTTCAATGGACTGTGAATTTGTGGTTGGTTTTGTATATTTGTGTGGTGGTTTTGGCAGGTATAATAAAGCCAAAGGCAATAAGAGACTGAACAAAGAATGTTTGTAATTAATGAAAACGTGCCTTTTGGCACAGATATGGAAACAGCTTTGTATATAGTGCAATAGTTTGCTGCGGTAAAAGCTTGTACAGCTTTTTATTTATTGATACTCATGCACCCCGGCTGCTAAAAAACTAACATTCAAATTTAGTTCAATAGTTTATATTAGAAGATTCATGCATACTTGACAAATGTCTAAACATACACTACAATGCTCAACATGCAATGATCAATTTGTTTCCCTGATAAAGTGAATTTCTGCTCAAGGATGAACTTAAGATTGGTGTTTAATGGTGGCAGGTTCTTCTAAACAGAAGCAAAGGTAAAATAATAGGAGGTTGATCATAGGCTACTATAGGCTAGAGTTTATTTTATGTTTAGAAACCCAAGTTCAGCAGCAGGATTGAAGCCACATGCATGCTTGCCAAATGTATGAACAGGCCCACTAAATTAGACAAGTAGCAGTCTGCTTAGTTGTCCCAAGAAAAGTAAATTTTCTGCCCAAGTATAGTTTGCAAATTGAATTTAGAAGATGCAGAAAACGCTTTTGAAGAGGAATTTAATTTTTTATTTTGATTTCCAGAAATCCTTGTTGATGCAGAAAACGCTTTGGAAGAGGAATTTAATTTTTTATTTTGATTTCCAGAAATCCTTGTTGAATTTGAAGGAAGGGTAGATTAATTTGAAATACTGTTAAAAGTTCAGGATAAAAATCTCCTCAAAGGAGGGAGCGCTTTCTCTCTCTCTACCCTAGTGAGAGAGGGAAGGATAGTAAATTTTACTCGGTATCTTTTGAGCTCATAAACATTGATTCTCTTGGTTTTGACTTCTGAGCATATAAGGTTGCGAGGAACTGGGCTATTTTGTTGTTGATTAAGTAGTTCTATTTTCATTTATTTTAAAATGATTGTTCTATTTATTATATTTTAAAATAGTGTAAAACAAACAAGATACTGTAATTATTTTGACATGAAAGGAATGTTAAAAATCATCTCTTTCCTATCCCACCACCCATATGCGTTTTCTATTATGTGGATGCTGATCAGTGTGAGTCATCAAATTCCTTGGAATTCTAAGGCTGGAAATTTTGGGACGAAGGATTTTAGAGTCGCTGTCACTTTAATGAATAATAGCTTTGATCGAGTATATTAGTACTCCTTCCATCCCGAAATAATTATTCAGTTTAGATTTTCAATTTAAAATTTCAAACTGGACGATAATTTCGGGACGCAAGAAATACTCCTCCGGTCTTAATGTAAAGCATTTTTATTTGTCTTAGGTTTTACCTAATATGTATTTTTGATCGACAAAAAAATCTTAAAAATGTATTTTCACATTCGTCGTGTTCTCTTGATTGTTATGAAATATTTTTAAGGTGTTTTTGCCAGTGAAAAATGCATACTAGGTGAAATTTAGGACAAATCAAAATGCCTTATAATAGGGACCGGAGGGAGTATTACATAACTTTACTGTAAGAATCAAATTGTAATTTCTGTTTGGTATGCCGATTGAATCAGCTTTTTCTTTTCTTTTTCTTTTTGATGAAATGATTGTATCAGTTTCTACATGACGCGTAACAAAAGAGGAGAGTGAACTATGCATTATTGTGAACCAATGATTTCGGAACGTATGAATATTTTCTCTCTAAACTCTGAAATCCGGCGACTATAACTCCGATTTCAAAATAAAATATTGCTCCTTTGCTTCTGATCAAACTGGAGTTTTCCTAGCTTGATAATCATCCCGAGTTAGGATCAACTCTCCAAATCAAGTCAACCCTTTGTTCATGTGCATTGACACCTGAGACTTTGATTCTCCACAAAAGGACAAGGAGTCAACGTACGCCTTGTTCAATTTTGTTTTTTGGCTTTTGTTAACTTTTCCATCTAATGAAGGATGGAATTACCAAGCTTTCATCGGAAGAATCAAACCATAAATGATGATGAAGAATCTGTTGAAGCCCTTTTGAAGAAGATGACCATGGATGCTGGGAAAATACAAGACCAAGTACTTGAAGAGATTCTAGCCAAGAATTCCAAAACTGAGTATTTGTCCAGATTTTTTGCTGATGCTGATGATAATGTGAAACAAGTTTTCAAGAAGAAGGTTCCTTTGGTTGAGTACTCAGATCTCTTGCCTTATATTGATAGAATTGCTGATGGAGAGCCGCATTCCATTGTCTCAGCTGATCCCATTCTGGAGTTGATTCGCAGGTTCATTTATTCTCCAAGTTTACTACTCTCCATTTGTCGTCCCAAAATGATTGTCCTGTGTATTACATACTTAAAACAGCGTAAAAATTATACAATTATTTTGGGACGGAGAAGGGAGAGTTTACTGTCTCTATATTAGCTATATTAGCATTGTAGTTTGCATCACAATATTCAATGGGCAAACAAAAATATGTGCAGCTCAGGGACTTCAGGTGGGAAGCAGAAGTTGTTTCCTAGGACTGCTCAAGAGCTAAGGCTTACTGCATCTTTTCACGAATGCTCTCGCAATATACTAAACAAGTAAGCATTCTTAAGTCGTTGCACTTAGAGTATACTCCCTCCGTTATGGTCCAGTTTGAATTTTCTCTTTTAGTTCAATTGGTGCTAAAACTAAAATTCCAAACCAGATAATAACTTTGAGACGAAGGGAGTATTATTTATGATGACAAGGAAATTTAGATGTAGGATTAGTATATGGCAGTATACTGTAATTTTACTTTCAATGTTTAGAGGGATTCATTGCATGGCTCCATGGTGCACGGAGAGTTATTTGGCTATTCTCTTCGTCCCAAAAATGATTGATTGTGCTGTTTGTTGTACTAACTACTGGAAGATAGTAAAAAATTCACAGATAAACTTGATATTGATTGAGTTAATTGCTTTTGACCTCTTTCCCCTCCTTCATGTGTGTGGATTGATTAGGCACATTGTTGATGATGATCAGCCTCTGAATGGAAGAAAGAGGATGTTTCTTTCTTTCTTGGCACCTGAGAATACTACTCCAAGCAATTTAGTGGTAAGAAGTGCTGTAACCAGCATAATGCGGAACACCCTGGCCCAATCCCTGCCTTTGAATCCTCCCCTTGGTACCAGCCCTCCAGAAGTCACAATGTGTAAGGATGTGAGACAAAGTATGTACTCCCAGTTGCTTTGTGGTCTCCTCCGGAGAGAATCAGTCATGAGTGTCGGGACAATTTTCGCGGCTGGTTTTGTTCATATGATCAAATTTTTAGAGCAACACTGGGAAGCACTTTGCTGTAATATAAGACAAGGACGCATCAGCGATTGGATTGATGATCCGAAATGCAGGGGAGCTTTGTCTTACATCTTGTCTAGGCCAATGCCAGACTTGGCAGATGCAATTTCAAAGGAATTTGAGAATAAATCATGGGAAGGAATCATAAAGAAACTTTGGCCTGGAGTTAAGTGCATTGAGACTGTGGTGACTGGATCCATGGCTCAATACATCCCAAAGCTGGAGTTCTATGGTGGAGGGCTTCCGATAGTTTCGATGATCTACGCCGCATCTGAAGGTAGTTTTGGAATAAATCTTAAACCACTAAGCGATCCTTACGATGTCAGTTATTGTCTTGCTCCGTGGATGGCTTATTACGAGTTCTTGCCCTTTGATCCAACCTCTGAGGATGATGCTGATCTCAATAATGGAAAAGTTGTTGATCTTGTCCATGTGAAAGTTGGTCAACATTATGAATTGGTGGTGACTACTTGCTCAGGTAATTCAAATACTTGTAACTTCCAATTTTGATCGACTTTTATAACAACATACCCAGTATCTTCCCAACTCTTATCGACTGTTACAATCCAGGGGGAAAAAAAGCAAGTATGCAGCTATTTTTGTTTGTGAAACTGGACTATTAAAATGGGACCAAAGGAGTATGATTGACTGGTGTTTTGTATCTTTAGGCTTGAACAGATACAGGGTGGGAGATATTCTGATGGTGAGTTCATTTCACAACAATGCACCACAATTCCGATTCGTGCGAAGGAAGAATGTGATACTGAGTATTGACTTTGATAAGACTACTGAAGAAGACCTAATCAAAACAATTTCAAAAGCAATACACAACATCCTTGAACCGCATGGTTTTCTCCTCACTGACTACACGAGCTATGCCGATTCGCGCTCCTTTCCCGGCCATTATGTCCTGTTTTGGGAGCTTCAAGATCATGGAGGATTAGGACATGATGATGGATTTGTTCAAATGATGAGGGGTTGCTGTAATCTAGTGGATGAATCATTGGATGAAGCATATAAGAAGTGTAGAGTTCGCAATTTGATCGGTCCCTTGGAAATTAAGGTTGTGAAACAAGGGACGTTTGATGCGCTCATGGATTTCACGCTTTCTCGCCGAAAATCTGCTTCTCCTAGTCAGTACAAACCACTTAAGTGCATTACATCTGAGGATGCGATTCAGATGATGAATTCCATGGTGATTGCTACATTTTTCAGCAATTGAATGGCATAAGTTTTTTACTTCCAGTGACATATGAAAGACTGGAAAATGTTGTTTTGGGGCATCTGGTGCTGTCTTGCAACATGTACGGCATTTTATACTCTTGTCAGCGCCAAAAAAAAAATAAAAATAGTTCACTTTCTTGTAATGTTCAATTCAAGAAAGTAATTATTTACTTGATGGATGCTTTGGCCGTGTATTACATAATTGATTTCAAGATCTTTTTTCTTTTTTCTTTTTGGTCGAATTTCAAGATCTATTGTTCTTACTATTTTACATAATTGAGCTCGAGCTTGAAGTAATTGGGTTTGATCCAGCTAGACCCTCTCACATGCATAATTGTGCCTCCTACCTCTCATCAGCGGAAGGCTAATTATGCATTCTCGAGATTCAATTAACTATGGCCAACATTAAAATTCTGTTGTGTGTTCAGTAGGCAAATTAAAGTATGAATTGTGTGAATTTTTCGTCTATATTCTGCATTCGATGTCTGATTTATTGTTCTAAGTTATAATCTATAGTACTTACTTAAAGCAGCAAACAAAAAGGACATGTGTCAACACCACAATGAAAATTTTCCCGCCAAAAGTCATTTTCAGTACAAAATCATTTTTGACACGTGGCACTCTAACTAATCAGAAAAAAAAAGATATAATAAATAAATACATAAAATCCCTTAATTATAGTTACATAAAAATATTTTTAATTATAAGTATATATACTAATCACTTAAAACAACAATCTTTAGTTGATAAAATCAAATGTAAGGAAATCTCTTTAAATCAAGTGAAACACCAGTAATGTCTTCCTAATACCTAATTTCAAAGAATCTCTTCATTCCGCTCCTCTCTCACACCCGGGCCTTTAAATCAATTACTTAAAATCTGACATAAATTATCAATCATCTCTTTCTACAACAGAAAAAAATAAGCTGTCATTAAAGAAATTTAATTCTTTAAGGATGTTTTTTTTTATTCTTCTGTTGTAGATATCGGTCTATGATTTATGTAAAGTCGGGCATAAGTTTACTGTTATAAATTAAATATTGTAAATCTAGGCATATATTTATGTGTAATTACTCACTTTCTGTCTTTTAAATCGATTTTTTATTCTTCTAATTTTTTTTATTCTTTTAAAAATGATTCGTATTTTTTATTTAATCAATTTAAAAATACAGGTGACACCCCGGGCGAATACCGGGACAAGCATCTAGTTCATATTCAAGCCGGAATAGGCCCATTTTGGAGGAGGTGTTAATAACTCTTAATTTGGTCAGGCATGTGGTTGAATCTAATACAGGTTGGAACTCGTAAATGAAATTTAATCTGACTAACCAAACAAAACCACTTTTTTCATCAACAAGCATTCATTAACCAAACAAAACCACTTTTTTCATCAACAAGCATTCATTACTAAGTAAAAAGAAATATACCATAAAAAACGTTTAGGGATTCCCTCTTATGCTACAAAAAAAAAAAATAATAATTTAGTAGCATTCATACAATTTAACGTCCATTTGAAGAACAAAGTAAACAGTTGGGACAACTTCAGCATGGACAGTACGTAAAGTCGCAATCCCTCTAGCCATGAAGAAATCGCCCGTTCCACCGACAACCGATAAATCCCTAGTTTCTTGCTCAATAATATCTGCCCCCATGATACTAATCGTCCCGTTAAGCCGAGTCGTATTGAACACCAATGTGTACGCCATCCAAGCGTTATAAGCCGTCTTCATGTCGTAGAAATAGAACCCTTGCGCCCGCGCGACCGGGGCGGAAAACAGCGATTTGTCGCGCTTGATGGGATCGTCGAACACCACCATCATCCCGAAATACGTACTCTGGCTAAGATTTGTCGGGTTCGCTACCAACGCTGAGGTCGCGTTCGCGTGATTTGTGCCGTCGAACACGATGTTGTGCAAGTACACCGTGAAACTCTTGCATGGTTTTGGTGTTTGTTTCTTGGAATTGCAAGGAAGGAAACAAGAAGTGCAAGCTAGAAGAAAGACAATGAGGCAAATGGAGTTTCTCATGATGCTTTTCTTAATTTCAGTTTGATCAATCTGGTAGGTTTGAAACCATTTTAAAGGGCCAATTTACGGAGTGTTATATTTTTGTTTTGGTTTAAATAGTGCATGTGGCTATAGTGGAGTTGTTGTTAGTATAATTAATCAAAAACATAATGGACAAAACGTAGTTGTGGATGATTAGATGTGCAATAAGCCACTTATATGATTTTTATTAACTATTTTCTGGTTCGAGGCCATAAGAAAACAATCTCTATGTCACAAAAAGATTCTTCATATAGTATGGTATTCTTTTTTTTGACTAACAGTAATTCAATCATCCAATAATTTTTGATATTTATTATACAGTAGAATAGTCATTCTGAAAAAGATGATGGAGTATAAAATATACAACTTGAATGATTAATTAATTATTAGCCTTTTCATCAGGGCTGTTCCTTTTTGTTTTATCTTTTGTTGGGTTAATTTTGTTTTTACGTCTTTCCAAGATTTTTTATTAGAAAAAAAGAAAAAGAGAGAAGATATATAGGAGTATTATATAGGGCGAAAAGCTTCAAAGTATAGAGTTATTATGTAAGCTGATCAGGTCTGGTGAGTTTGGAATTGTGTATATTAAAATGCAGATTCACTGGAAAAAGATTTATGGTGAAATTTACATTTCCATTTGTCTCATTGTTCAAGGAATATTTACAGTTCGACAATATTCTGTTGGTAGATATACTTTCAATTAATTATCATTTTTTTTAATATGCAGTTGACTGCATTTTATATACTGTCCTTGTTTGTTCTTAGCGGAGAAAATAGTTGTAATTTTTGAGGGGGAAAGATTAATCAAAGAACCTAAAGTAAAGTGGAAAACTAGCTAGACAATTAATTGTTTGTGTATAGTAAGAGACGAGATTCATGATATAGAGACTAAAAATTTAATCCAGCAAATAAGAGTAGAGTACAGTTTCGTTTCGTTTCGTTTTGGCCCCTTCTAATAGCAATTTGCATAAAAGTAATATATTTTCCATTTGAGGCATATTCTAATTTTATTTTTTTTATATTCACATAGTGAAACTAGCCTAACAGCCGCCTTTGGAAAATGACAAAAGTAATTTACACGGTTTGTTTCCTTTTTCCAATAGTTATTTCATAATAAGATAATAATAATTGTCTCATCTCAGCGTACCTTTTTACATTTCTAATACAGAAAACACCTAAAAACATACACTTTTAAAAAACCAAACAAACATAATAGGCAAGTTGTAAGCTAAAATATGACACGTTCGTCTCAATAAAACCTGTCCACTATCACGAAATTAGTGAATATTTTTCTGTTAAATCTAAATAAGTTGTTACCGAACATATGACTTTTTCGTCTTAGAAAAGTAATTTATTTTATTGAAATTAATGAATATTTTCCTACTAAGACGGAAGGAATACCATTTATACAAGTTAGTCATTAGAATAAAAGGTAAAAAAGGTTAAAGATCTTCTATATCATAATCTTACGTCACTTTTTACATAAGATTTTGGTACATGGCCTTCACAGATTCATCTAATAGTGGGTTAGGATGTTCATAAAATTTTAAAAAATAAAAGTAAAAATTAAATTAAAAAAATGTGATAAATTTTATATGGTAGTTTAGGAAGTTTTGTAAGATCGTGAGGAAATAAAAACATTTGCATTCTATTTGTTCTCCTACTAGATGATTTCTATATACCAGAATTTAATTTAGCTCTTGCGCATTATGGATATTTTATGGGGTTGCAAGAAGGAAAATGACGAAACTAGGAGACTAGCTCTATTTGCAGTTCTCAGTTCTCACTCAAATTTTCAGTGCTCCAAATGTCTTTGTTATTACTTACTCCATCAGTCTTAAAAGAAAAAGTCCACATCAACATTAAGAGTAATTTTTTTAAAAAAAAAAATGTACCTTATTAACTACTTGTATCTGACTATCCACTTAACCAGCATACTTAACCGGCACAAAAACAAAATCAAGAATTGAACTCATAACTCACGGTTAAGTGCCTTGAGCTTTACCACTTGCTAAACCAGAGCCATCAAAATGCTTTTACCTACATTTAACCTCTACCATTGAAGTAAAATCGAAGTCAAAAAATTTTTTATATGTTCCAAAAAAAAGAAAAATAGTCATATTTTTCACCTATTCAATGAAAAGCATAAAAATCCCTCAAAAACTAATTTGTGTCTTCATTGAAAAATCCACACTCAGTCAGCATCATTTTACCAAAATCTGGACAATGCAAGAATCAAAATACAGTTCTTCCCGTTTGGATTCCAGATTGACTAAAAAGGCAAGTAAAAAGGACAAATTGGAGATACCCTCCACATTGTTACTATATTTCCTCTTTAAGTTGCCAAAAAGAAAACCTCCAAAAATTTCATTCACAACGTCAACAACCTGCACCAGACAATGAATCTAATAAGCATAAACTATTTTTGAAACAAAATCAAAGTTTGACAGAGAAGTAACTTAAAAAACAGAACTAAGGGACATCTTGTGCCACATACAAGTAATTTCAACAACCATGATTACGAACTCGAATAGGTCCCTAGAATAAATGCTTCCTAGGCAAGGTCTACTAAAACAGTTGATGATGCATGATATCAGTGGTGAAGTTACTAAACCTCGGAAACATGGCTTCTTCAGGTCAAAGTGAAATCCATCATGTTTAGATGTAACTTTAAAAGGACAAATTTGAAAATGGCCTTGTTCTTTTAATCAAACCTCAGATGCCATACATTGCTGATGGGAAAACCATTACAACAGAAGTTTCAAGTGAATCACTAACATAGACAATTCAGACTAGGTCTATCTACATATTGCTGAGAGGTTAATGTAACATTTATCCTTGAAAAAGGAGCATAACATGAAATTAATGTAATCAATTCTTAAGATCTTGTCATTAGGATAGGTTTACTTACTTTATGCCGGCATTGCCTATTTCCAGATCTCGGCAGAATTCACTCTCACAACGACAGCGAAAAGCCACCACTGGATGAGTATGGTCATTAAAGTCAATGTCATAGTCCTACAATACACATAAAATGCTTATTTAATCATAAAAGCAATTGTTTGCTCTTGCAGTGACAATAATACAAGCACAAATGGTTTCTGCAGAACAGCCACTCTGAGATTTATTAAGGTTAACAAGATAAACTACCCTATTTCTAGAGAAGATTCAGTGCCTCCGAGTTCTTCAAATACATTTTTCATGGTGAGAAAAAGAGACACTCTTGTGACTCTTTCTTCGATAACATTATTCATGATGAGAAACTAAAAACAGACACTCTTGGGTTCTATCAGTCTGAAATTTTGAAATTGCTATTTATTAAAGTGTAGATAACATTCGGAAAACAGATAAGCATCTGATCTGACAACAGAAATATCGTCTGATGGAGTACAGTTAACAGGCAGGCATTCTCAAATCTCAAGCATAAACTACTCATGCTCCTATAGTATAGAATGATGGTCACTGTAATACTGTGATAGGGGGATGCTTACCCAAGTCAACTCTTCAGAAGTGTGAACTTCTCTATTAGTGAAAAATGCAAGCTGCAGTTTCAGATAAAAGTAAGAATAAGAGAACCCTCCTCTGAATATACATGGTGAACAACCAAATAGAACTAAGACTTACATGGTAATAATGATGATCTGGAGTCTCCACTTCAACCGGAATTTCCACTAAATTAGCGTCATGGCATCTATAGAAAGTAAGTTAACAAGGAAATAAGAACTAAAACCTATCCAAGTAGAAGCAGCTAAAAGATTGAAATAGAGAGGGATTCTAGAGTTCATTTGCAAACAGGCTAATAAGGTGTAGGGAGAGCACAATACAGATAGTTGGAAAAAGAATATAAAACTGAAACTGAAAGAGAAGTGTGCAATACAAAAATGAGAATTACTGTTCTGCAGCTAAAAGCACAATTAGCATAGCTGCCAGTTTAGCACCTGCTACTGCAACCATTAACCCCGATTTGTTCTTATTTATAGAGCAACACAGATGCCAAATGTTGAGCTGTTAAATTTGGTTATATTATGAGCATCAATTTAGGTTCTTTCTTCTTTTTAATAAACATTATATGAAAGCTTTCCATTTTTCACCAGAAAAAATGTGTAGGTATCATACTAAGTAACAGATAGATGAGAACGAAGAAGCCTCAAAAGGAATATCAAGATCTTCAACGGTTTTCCACAGCTGATAAATGCATCAATATAATATCTTCATTGGCTTATTTAGAGTACCTGTGATTGATAAACCTTGCAACATTTCCAAACAATGTTGCATCGAGACAAAGTGCCTCTTCATCCTTCAAGACACCTTCAGTACACCAATCTGCATCTAGTAGCACTGGATATGTGTGCTTCTTTCCAATGCTACGTGAGTTGCGATCAAACATTTCCGTATTAGTTACTATCTCGCCCACATACTCACAAACAAAGGCACCTTTAGGTAAGTCTTCAAGAGTTCTAAGACCCCATCCCTTCTCTTTGGTCATAAAAACCTGCACATGTAAGGAAAAAAGATATTTTGGGAACAAGAGTTATGCAACTAGAAGAGATACATTAAGTCCATTAAAAGTGGTGATATGTCAACATTATTATGGTCTAACCTGCAACTTGCGATTTATGCCACGCTGAACAACGCGATTACCACAAGCCATGGTGCAACCGCACTTATACCAGCACTCCTTGATAAATTTCCTGATGAGATGGCCCTTGCATGCGCCAGATAAGCTTTTACTCTTGGGCCTTTCCAGCGGACATGCTTGGCAGTAAAAGAAGTTTTTCTTCTGTGGACTGCTTTTAATCAAAATAGTGTCTTCAAGAAACTTTTCCTTAAGTAAACCCCCTGGAAGATAAGCAAACTCCCCACCAGTTTCACCAGCACAGGCACAAGGTAGTTCTGCCATCAAACAATCTCCAAAGCAATGGGAACCACAATTGTCATCTGAGATGCGAGCTAGCAGAAACTTGACATGAGCTTCTCTATAAACTATGTTACGGGGGATGTACTTAAACAAAGGCTGACCCTCATTATTTATTTCATTTATCAATGAAATCTTGACATTCTCTTCCCCAGTCGTAATATCATCAACTAAATATGCAGATTCCATCATGTTAGGAAATGCATGCTGAGCAACAACAATAATTTCTGCAGTTGAAGAGCTTTGATTTCTAAGTCCCTCAAGATATGTATCACAGTAACTGCCAGATAACTTCATTGGTAATCCTATCTTGCTTTGGCTAAAGTCCAAACCATTCAAAAAACGGAACCTTGGAGGATCAATGTAAACACTGGCTATATTAGCAACATGATTTGAAACAACTTGACCATCTAAGTCTCTAGAAGTAATAGGATCAGGTTGTAGTTCGGCACGGCTAACTCTCTCATTGCCAGAGGACATGATGCCAGTTGCTAAGAAAGTCTCGCATATCTCATTCATCAACTTCACGATCGAGAAGTCTTGTCGGGTAATGTTATATGCTTCAGCATACTTTTCTTCCATCCTCTTTAAGACTTCATCTAATCTAGGAACACAAAAGTTCGATGGAAGCGACGATTGGAATGTTACAGAGAGTTTAACTTCCCCCTGGCAAGAGGAAGCAATGTCTAAACGTGAACCATTCCAAAAACTCTCTTCATCTCTGGCTGAGGATTTGGGTTTTGGATGATAACCTAGAAGAAGAGGTCCCTTTGTGGATGAAGAACAATCTACATTGACAGAAACCAGACAAACATAAAGTTCACCATATAAGAGTTAGATTTTGCACATGTAGTAAATCTTCATATGAGCCAATAGTGACTTGATCAGTCATAAATAAGAATTACTAGGTTGACAAAAGTGATGAATACATAAATTATTAAGTTAAAAACGATGCAATTGAGATGGAAAAAACACTCATAATAAAACTTGCCGTAAATCTACTAATTTAATGGTCTTAGTTTTCTTACTTAGCAAACCCTCGGAATTTTGCATTTAAGTCTGGAAAACATAATTTGATTAAGAACAGAGATTTTAATCCCATTCATTTAATGGCTCGTATCGAGTTAGTAAAGTTACATGCTATGCCTGACCGAAAGATAAACTTACATGTACCTTTGGTATTGAGCTCTGTCACTTTAGGGGGTGTTGAGAAATTTCTCTTTGCTTTAGAATAATCGCTTTCAATGGAAGATCTTGCATGATCTGCAGGACAAGAATGAGTATAATTATAGAAGTAAGATGAACAAAGAATGTGAAAATTAAATTTGTATTTTATAGAAAAAGAGGAATTACAAAAGAAACCAATTTAAATGGAATTTCACACACATGTTTGCAGACAAATGCCACAGCAGCCGCATTAGCAATTAGTTTTTTCCATGCAAACAACCCAACCGAATGAAAGGAACTTAAGATCCGACTGTATTCTCTCATTCCTTACCCACTATCCAAATTATTCATTTTAGCAGATAAGGAGAATTACCAGGGTGAACAACGGCTAGAGGGCGTGGCTCGGACATGGAATCAGGTAACTCTTGTACATTCTCCAGGCAGGCCTTTAAATTATGAGTTTCAGTCACCAACTTATGGACGGATGGGGACTTATAATTGCAATCATCATCCGGAAGTGGCTGAGGGGACAGAGGATTAGATTCATAGCTTCCTTCAGGTGAGAACAGATGACTTTTCTTAGTCTGTGCGAACTCTGAAGAAGAATAGTAAGAGCTGCATTTCTGTTCTCTTGCAGGACAATCTTGCATAGGAGTGTCAATCTCATCTTCAGTATCTCCTTCAATGACATAGCAATGAGCAGAAGTAGCCAACTTTTCCTCACGAACAGATTCAGACGTTACCTTCATCACATCATGGAGTGGCTCATCTTTCTGCCAATCAGAACTGGAGCTAGAAACACCACCCCATGTCAAAGGTTCATCTGTGCGACTTGTTGATCTTACTTTTTTGGGCGGCGGTTCCTCCCCTTCAGGCTCATCAATTAAGTGGAACCTCCGGCTTTCCTTTAGCTGTTTCAACAGTAACAATTCAGAATACGAGGAACGTGACAGATTAAATGTGAATTTTGAACTAAGGCTCCAAAGGACCAGTTCCACACAAACTGAAGATATAAAGCTTAGATAATTAACTTTGACATCTAATATTCAAAATAACAGTGAAAGATTGAACAAAATCTATGACAACAAGCATAAACGATCAGTTAAGTTATCAAGTAATTAACATGGCAAACATGCAAAAGAAAAAGAGACAGTACCTTGCTCTCCTCACTCTCAAGAACAGCATCCACGAGGACAGCATAATCCTCATCTTGAATAAGTTCCCAGTTTTGCTCATACACTTCCAAAAGGCTGTTCAATACAGGCTTTACAACTTTTGAATCATATCCAAGCTTACTCATAGCCCTGTAGGCTTTGATGCGATTAGATTGGGCGTTTCCCACCATAGCTGTTGAAGGTCCAAACTTCAGTACCCTATTCAACAATGAACATAACACTTCCAAAACTAGATTAAAAGTACAATTCGACCTTAGTCCCAGTCACTGCAACTAGAAAATTGTACATTTGAAATGGCAAAGAAACCAAAGAATGCTCAAAGATCAGTATGGATCTTATCAACAGAAAGAAAATTGAGTTGTCCAAGAAACTCAGGAATGAAAAACATTCAGCACTGAAATCAAGGATTAAACAGGTGGGAGCATCGCACCAATATAGAAACAGACAAGGCCAGTCAACCAGCAATAAATGAGAAAATATGGTTTGTTATAACCTACCATATGCGACCTGCATGTATTGAATCACATCTTCAGGTGCTCTAAATTTTTAAAAATTAACAACTCTGAATCAATATTGTTTAGAATGTAATTTTGTTAAACATAAGGTTCTATAATGAAATAAACTAAGAACTGAACCCCACATTAACCACCCTTTAAGAAAAACATGCTAAACTTACTAGCTCTCTGCAATCAAAGAAGCTTGCAAATTTAAGGTATATTTCATGCATGACAACATTCGACTCAATTAGATCGTTAAAGATTCTATCATAGCAAAAAAAAAAAAGCCAATTGTGATCATGCATGCTGCAAATGCTGCAACTGAACTAAAACAAATAACGAAAAGTATGCATAAGTCTCGGAATTCTTAGAATTTAGCCAAATTAAAGCTTGTTAGACTTTAGCCAAGTCACTTCTGTTGGGTGTGTGCCAATGGCAGGAGGATATTGGTTAGACTAGACAGACTACTATGCTGAAAACTAAATGATCTTTCTTCAGACCAAGAAAACCACTGAAAACCATAAGCAGAATGGAGAGCAAGTAAATTCATAGAGTGTGGACCATAAGCATTTCACAAAAACATTCTGTTTCTTTTGTGTTCTGGGATCCCTTAGGAGTGATTTTTGGCTCAGATTTTCATGCATAAATATCACAAAAATATTCTGTTGTGAAGAAATATATTCCTCCCATTCCTTTTCATGAGAGGGTTTAATTAATAAAATGCACTGAAATTTCAACAAAAACACGAAAATCAAAACACAAACCAGACAGCATTGAAAAATGCATTGAAATTTCCAATTTTTTTTTCTCAAAAATACTCCATGTCCCATAACAGTAATAGTCTTGTTTGTACAACCAACCAATCATAATTCATAATCAAGCAAATGAGCGATCAATGTAAAATCATAAACCCCACAGCGGGACCAATCTATACCCGGCCATCGCCCGAAGTATATATATATAAATCCATTCAAGAACACAAAGTTCATTTTTTTCCAGAACCCTTCAGAGGAAAATCCATGTTTCAACGTTCAAAGGTCCAATTTTTTTGAGGGGCAGGTCATAGACGAACAATTTTCCAGGCACAAAACCAAAAGGGTTGCTCTCGTTCCGACTAAATTATTCAGTGCCCAGTATAAAAATACAGTGTTTATGGACAAGGAGAATAAAAAACACACACACACACATTGAAGCACATGTGATTATTTGATTATTGTATAAAAATGGAGATACAGTGAAGCACACATATTAAAAAAATAAAAAATAAAAGACGCGCCTTTTCTTCCGGTAAAAGGTTTTTTCTAGGAAAAAAAAAAAGATAAGATTTTTAGTCCAACAAAACTGACTGAATTTTATGGATGGAAAGAACATCCCGTAAAACCCTTGTTAAATTCCAGCAAATGGGTCTGAATTGTTCAAAATCAAAGGCAAAAAAAAAAAAGACGGGCAAGTTTCTCCCTGGATTTCATCTTCACCTTAAATAGATAAAAAATGGTGGAATGAAGGTTTACCTATATCACTTGAAAGCTGAAACCCGGTAAAAGTTGTGCATCAAACAGTGATTCTAATGTGGTCCTTGGGAAAAGGACTTCTCTATGACAGCAAGGAGGCGGAGAAGCTAGAGGGAAATGATGGATTTCAGTGAAGGACGAGGTTTATTCAAGGTTTTATGCAAGGAGAAGAAGATGAAAAAAAAATTATCTGGAAAATAAATCACATTTACGACCAACAAAATGAAAATAGATTTTTTTACTATTTTGTGTTTGAGTAAAAAAAAATCTGAACATGATTTGTCCTCCAATTGCACAAGTCACACACAAACATTGCCCGGACTCACTTTGATGGTACATGGAAGGCTGGCTTTAATGGTAAATGGAAAGGTCTTTGTCACAGAATGAATATATTACTCAAAAATTATTTTGAAGGTAAAATAAAAGGTTGAATCACGGTCAGTCTTATTTTAGTGCAAGGCTAGTATATATGTTGATTCAATGTTAGTAATATTGAAAAGTTTTGCATATGTTAGAGTTAAGAAGGTTTTTGTAAATGATGTTCAGAAAACAAATAATGGAAAGGTAGAACTCTCTCAATGTGCAAACTTTTGATATTGGAACATATCAGAAACAAACTGAAGCTGAAGCTGTGAAAGCATATGAGAAGCTGCTAACACAATGTTGCCAGTGTTATGAAGTGATTGGAAATTCGGAATCACCAGATCAACACATATGCAAATCAAAAACTATATCAAAATGCAAACTAAATACTACAAGCTACAAATATCATTGATAATTGCACCACGGTTTTCGTGAACTTCAGTCCAAGAACTGAACTAATTCGACATTTTGGTTTCTTGCTGTTTCGAGCAAAGCTGATATAGTACCATAAGCTGTGCAATCCCTAAAGAATTATAGCAGAAATGCGACACGGCATCATAGAAAACTGGGCGCCATGCCACGCGACACTATATTACATTATATACTACCTACATAACTTTATGGACTTTCATATGGTTGCAAAGCTAGAACTATTCATTCTATCTTTTAGTTTTAATTGGTTTACACTTTAGGCCGAAGAGCAGGACTACGACTATGACAATGTAGAATTGCAGCAGCAATGGAGAAAGACTGAAGAGCTGATAAAGTTGACTGAAAGTGGATGTAGTATAGATCTTCATGAATATTCGTCATTTTCATTTTAGGCGTGTTCTGCTGTGAGCCCTGAAAGATTTGAAGAGCAGAGAATGAGAAAAAGTTTCAGAATGCTCAACTTGTTATTATAGGTTAGAAGTTGATTAGTGATTTCGTCTTCTAGGGTTCTGCAGATATAACTTCATTATACTGTTGTCGAAACAAAGTTCTTGCAAGTAGAAAGTAAAAAAAGGAAACAGTCAAGGAAATCAGAAGGAACTTCACAAACCTCTATGAAGATATCCACTGTCTTGCACTCTCCAGAATCTGTCAGGGGTAGATGCTCCATTCGGTTTGTAAGTGTATTCAGCACTGTCAGAGGGCATCCAATGTCCCAACCTCCACAGTCACATTGTCCACTGGAGCGCCACCTCTCCAAGAGGGTTGATGGGCCACCCTTTCTGGTTTTTGGACCGCCATGGTAACCAGCCGGAAGTATAATATTCATGCTGGCTGAGCATTGACCATTATCTCGCTTGCAGCACTCGGATACCACAGAATCCTCTGAAGGTGTCTCATTCTTGATCCCAGGTTTCTTGAGAAATTTCATGCCCCAGCCACCAATTTCTGAGTCCTTAGGTTTGCCACAAACATGGTCCTTAACAACAATGGCAGCCAACTCAAGATTCGGAGGGGTTTCGGCATCCAAAATATTTACTGAACAATGATCAGGAATGCCGCATACATCATCAGAAGACTCCCAGGAAGTATCTTCAAGGATAACACTGGTGCCCAAATTCTTAGAATACCTTCTTTGTTTGTGCGAAAGGGTGGGCCTAAACACATCAGTCACCTTCTTAGCTAATCCTTTGTGCTTCTTAATGGAGTGAAGTGAGTTTTGCTCTTTTGCCCAACTATCATTCGAGCCAAACAACACAAATTGTCTCTCAAAGATTTCTGAATTCTTAGGGCATAGTGTAACTGAAGTAGACACTTTCATTGTTCCAACAAGATCTGACTCTATGTCTTGATTCTCGTGTTTACTTTTACCACCTGATTTTAAATGAAATGAGTAGACATAGTCAAGGACCTTATCATCTGGTGACCGTACATTGAATAAGTTAGCAGCATAAACCTCTCCCTGATCATCTACAGAGAATAGGTAATGTGGATACCCATCCTTCCATGTGCACTGAAGCATTCCTTGAGAGACAGCTGCATATCCAGAGGAAGAAGAATGATCTGAGCAGGTGGAGTTTGTGCTAGATATGGAGGAAAGCCTTTTGTGTACAGGCTCAGATCCACATTCATAGTCCCCATGCACCATCTCCTTCAGTTTTCCACTCTTATTACTGACAAAGTTACTAGGAGAGATGAACAAATCAGTGGATATTGCTTCTTTTTCTTCAAATTGACCTCCTCCTCCAATAGCTGTAGACTCCAAAGCTCCAAAGCGTTGGAGCAGTGGACTCCTTAAAATATTTATCATGCTCTTGCTGGCAGAAATTGCGCCCAGAATATCAGCTCCTACAGGATTTATTGCAGCACTATCGGCTACTGGAACACATGAACACTCAATGAATGGACTGACCATATCATCAGTACTTCTAGTATTATATCCTCTAGAACCTAGGTAGTTCCCAGCGATTGCCAGTTTTGAAGAAAAATTGCATGGTGCAGTTCCATATGCACTGATATGCATCCATTCAAGACAGCGACGGAGATATTTCTCATCAAAACCCATGATATGCTTTGGAATGTAATTATCCAGGCCGTAGATTTCTTGGAAGTACCACTGCTTATTCCCATTGTTGCTATTCAAAATCTTTAGGAGCACTATGGGATTATGCTCTTTATTTAGCAGAATATCTCTTGACAAACTATTTTCTTCTACGAAGTCTATATTACTGCTGACAGAAGGCAATGAATCTTCTTCTTCCGGTTGATCTTTCGCCAAATTATTTCCGTCTTTCATCTTCCGCACCAAATGCAGTCAGACTTTAAGATTTATTACTATAATCCAAGTGCAAATTCAAGCTTCATCGATGGTCAGTTCAACTGCAAGCTCGTGGACAAGCAACTGCCAAACAGGAAACAGAGTAACAAACATACTATCAATGGCCAAAGCAAAATCAATACTAGAATGATCAAGAATGACGCATGTATTCTAATTTTGACAAGTATAAACATTAGAGACTAGCAAAACAAAAGAACAGATAATTTGTAGCTAGATTAGAAAAGGATTGACCATTGTTCAAAGATTTCATTTACAATCAACCTGCTGCACACCTGCAAGTGGTCTGATGCATCTATAATCTAGCCAAAAATATAGAGAGTTCAATTATGTTGTCACTACAATCCAATCTCTAATAATAAGAGATATGACACACATCAACTATCATATCAGACAAAAATCCCCACAGAATCTCACACATGGCCAGAACATGCATCATTACAGTAAGATTTAAGACAAAAACAATGAAAGGCACAACTTGCATCAGAATAATCAAGAAGAACGTGTCTTACTTTAAATTCAAGATAACAACCTTAGGGAATTAAAAAATAACTTAAAAGCGATTCTAAAACGAAATCTCCAACAAGCATCAAATGAAGACTTGACAGCTAATGATATGGTCCTATTTTGAAAACCAAAGCAGTCAAGGAGGACAAGAATCGGAAACACAAAAAAGAGAGGTCATATTCCTAGACCATAGTTGTCCTGAAGGTCCACCCTAAATTTGAGCAGGATATTTGATATCTAGCAAGCAAAGTAAACTCATGTATGCTTTACTTATCATCATCTCCAAAAGAAAATTAACCATAAACAAGAAAAGCAGATTAAGCTTACACAATTGAAGAAACCAACAACAAAAATCAATACAAAGTTCCAATATTTACCCGTGATACATGAATTCTTCCTATTGCTTACCTCAATCAAACTATATTCAGAGAACTTCAACAGGGTTGTGGTTACCTTCACACATACACATCTACAGAGAAGAGCTGAAAGAAGAATCCCAACAATGAAAAAACCTTTCAAAAACTCAATAAGGAGCCAAACCCGGAAAGCAAAAACAAGTAATATAGCAGTTAACAACGGGCATTACCTTCCAAAAGTCAATCTTGGAGCATAAAAAAGGGACTAACTTTACCAACCAGCAAAACACATGGAAGGGGAATAAGCTCCACCACAAGAACTAAAACTTAAGTCCTCCCCAACCAGAATAATAACAACCTAAAAATACTATTCTAGAATCAAAAAGTTGAAGTACATTAAAAGAGGGAAGAGCCCAAGAGAGCGAAAGTGGAATGAAGGTAAGCAAAACAACCACAATTAAAACTGAATCAAAAAGCTTATGGTTATCGTAAGCCACGTTTTGGACTCGTAATTGTAAGAAAGAAAGTTGAAAACTTTGACATGATATGTCAATAAAAACCATCAAATTCTGGTACTACTACTAGTTGGGTGGACCCATTACAAAATTGTCTTCCATTATTTTGAAATTTTCCAAGTTTTAATCAAGACCCATCTGGTAAAACCTTGGAAAAAAAAAAAAAAAAAAACATGTCACATTATAAGCAGGGAAAATTGAAAAACTTTACCAAACTTTTTTATCAGAAAAATAGAAAGAAAAAAAAAACCCCTTTAAGCAGAGCAGGGGAGGGAGCTGAGAAGAAAAAGATGATAGAGTTGTGTGAGTGTGTGTGTGTGTGTGTTTTATGAGAAGTGGGAAAGTGTCAAAGGTGGCTTAGCTGGGAGGCACGAAAGCAACTGGACTCGGCTTTTTGGGTTGTGTAGTTACGTGCCCACTTTGCTATAAACTGATTTATCAGATTCTGTGAGACTCCATAGCCAAAGCAACTAGCTAGAAAGAAGAACACATGCGACGCTGGTGGTGTGGTGGTTTTATGAAGGGGTGTGGTTTGGAATCATCAGTCAATTTAGTGTTATGTATTTCACTTGATTATCGAATCACGTTTGGAACAAAAATTTATAAAAACTCTGGTGTTGTTAGGTTGTCTCTGTAAATTGTACTTCTGGAAAAATTTTATTCGCCTTGAACATAAATGAATTAGAATAACGATTTCAAATACTTTAAAAAAAAATTTATTGAAAAGTCTACCATGTGCAATGAACACAGTAAGATTGTTTTTGTTTTATTGATACTAATAATTAGAAACCATTAATAAGAATGTAAAATGAATGAAAAGGAAAATTGGTACAAGGTGAAATGAATAATTTCCGGTTCTAGAGTTGGCAGAGACTTTGATTGGGATCTTTGCTTTGTACAGATTACCATTTCTTATGCACGTGATCTTTTAGAGTCCTTTTTTCTGACTTTTCTTTTTGTTTGGTATTTAGTGTTCTCTACTCAAAACATGTATTATGAATTTTCTAGAACAACTGTTTGGAGAATGTCAGTAATTAAAAGATTATAATTCATCATCTTTTGTATAATTAAGAAAGGAGGTATAAATTCTGAGAAAGTTAGGCTCTGTTTGATAATCACTTAATATAATGACTTAATTTATTTAAGTACTTAATAAAATTAGGTGTGTTTGATAATTGTTACTAAAAAGTCTTAATGAATTAAGTTCTGAACTAATTAAGTATTTATAAATTAAGTACGTTTGATAACTAAAATTTTACTGTCTGAATTAATTAAGTGTGCCTGAATAACCAGTTCAATTGTGAGCCAGAAAATAAGTGATAGACCTACCACTTATCACTTATCACTTAATTTCTGTGATGACTCTTTGTTTTCTTTTTTTTTTCTTTTTTTCCCTCGTCTTTATTTTGTCGCTTATTTTTACATTATTTTAAAATTTTTATTTTCTTAAGATAAATTAATTAAGAGTGCTTAAAGTTGAATTTATATTATGAGTATAAAATATCTCAAAATTTTAAACTCAAATTAAACTAATTTTAATACATGGAATTTGCTAAATAACAAGGTATACACATATACGTAATAATCTAAATTTAATTATATAATGATTATTTACCAAGTGTAACATTTACTTTTATTTTATATACCAAAAACTTATTTTAAAATTATTATTTTATTATTTAGAACAAAATATTAGTTATTTTTCTATTTAAAAGAATTTTGTTTATAATTCAATTAAAATTTTTAACTTTCAGACATGAGTATTTAGATTCAGTCTTCAAACTTCAGACTTCAGTCTTCAGACATCATATTCAGACGTTTTTATCAAACAATGTAAATTCAGTCTTCAGACTTCAAACTTCAATGTTAAGTATTAAGTGTTCAGATTCAGATTTCAGTATTATCAAACGGAGCCTTATATTGTTCCCTTGCTCGAGTATGTAGTAGGTCTCATTGAATTAATGTGCATATTATTCACTTTCGTCATATGTTAGAATAGATTATTATCTAGTTTAGAATATTACTTCTAGTATAGAGTATAATAAAAAAAAATTAAGCGGAACAATAATTTTAAAACATACGGAGACAATTATCAGAACCGACTATACTAGAGTGTACTAATATGTAACGTTGAGTTTGAGAAGGTCAAAATGACAACTATACTATACACATGCAGTAATGTTTTACGGGATACGGTGATTAAATTACTATTATTGTACATTTAATAATGTCATGTTATTCTTTGACGGCTAGTGACGAGTTTTTAATTGCTGTTGGTGCGGCGGGAATACACGAGACCTTTGAATTTCACAACTATCATATGTACTAGTTATGCTTGCAATAAATGTAATTGACATGAACCGTAATTAATGATTTTATTGCTTTTCATGTCCTGCTAAAAAAACAAAATCTTACACATATTGAAACCAAGTCAGATTTTCCAAATAAAAAAAAAATTAAAAAACTCAGATAATGGCAAATATACTCTGACATGTAATATTTGTGAGTTTGTGAAGCTGTAATCTACTTTCTTAATTTTTTTTTTTATTATTGTTGGAGTATTTGTTTTTATTATTGAAGGTGACAAGAAAAAATGATTGTAAGGAAGAGGCAATAGTTTTTTTTTTTTTTTGAATTTCAATTTTCGCAAAATGGGGACGGAAATATAGTAGTTTTATAACGTTCGAAACAAACTTTGATATAAAGAATTACTATAAAATATACTATCAGTCCTATCTGTCTTTCTCATGTATACTTTTGTTAGGTTTTTTATTCCAATTTTTTTAGTGGCATTTTTAAAAAGATTTGAATTAATGAAAGGGATGTGAATGACCCAAAAAAAGCGACAGCATTTTGTGGTGTTTGTCTTTCCCAGTGAATTTAGCCACGGATATTGTTTGTCTGGAGCTGCATAGATGATGAACTGTTGAAGTATTTATCTCATATTGGTGTCTGGAGACACTTTGTATCAGTATATAAGTATCATGGGCTACTCCCCTCATTGCCAATTAGTTTTGAGGTGGAATCCCACGCTTATATGGTATCGAGCGAAATTCGGCTGTGGTGATTTTAAGCGCACAATGTTATTGATGGCCCAATTTAAGTCGCGACGTTATTCCGCTGATCGTGATGTTATTCCACGTTTATTTCCGATCCCGATGACTTAGTCCAAGCCCGTTGGGCTTGAGGGGAAGTGTTGAAGTATTTATTCCACATTAGTGTCTGGAGACACTTTGTATCAGTATATAAGTATCATGGGCTACTTCTCTCATTGTCAATTGGTTTTGAGGTGGAACCCCATAAGCTTCTATATGAACATTAGTAGTAACATTTTTATTTTTACCCATGCTTATTAAATTATTTATTATCGCCAATCTCGTTTGTCGATGGAAGGGATTCTTAATATAAAAATTCATTTTATAAAAGTAAGAATCGAATCATGGATCTCTTAAAATATTTTCCTCCATAATTAACCGTTCAAATGAGTATCCGCTAATAAGCACCCAAAATACTTTTAGATTGATTGTGTGACAATTTTTTGCTTCATGGACATCCACTATGCTTGGAAATATTATGAAGCCTATCCAATAGTTTAAGGTACTCTAGGTTGCTAATTAAGAAAGGTGATGTACGACGTCTCAATTAGCCTAAATTGCTGAAACTTGTCATTTTCAAGTATTCAATTGAGTAACTTAAATTAATTTTCTCACTAACTCTGCATGTGATGAAGCCCATAATTCTCTCCAATAATCCTTTGACAATTTGACATTACGCTTTGTGATTACATCAGTCTTATTTTCTATATCAATTGATCATTTAGATATTGTTCACGTCACGGACTGAAAAATAGATAAGAACGAATTTAAAAGTTTTTCCGTTGCAAGTAGATCTCAATGTATAAAAATAAATATATTCAATCTCTTAATATGACTGGCGAAGAGATAATATTCGATTGGCGTAATTTCTTGAGTTCGAAATATTCAAATGTTTGGAGGAGTGGTTAGGATTCCCCCGACATAGTACTCCCTCCGTCCCATAATTATTGTCCATTTTGCCCAAAAAATTTTGTCTCAAAATTATTGTCCAATTTGACTTTTTATGGATCAAGTTACACATTTGTCCTTAGTGAAAAACATTATTCATAAAATCTTAGTGGTTAAACAATTACTTATGTAGGGGTATATCCGATTGTTTAAGGTAAAATATAGTTAAGTTTGACCAAAAATAAAATCTTTCATTTTAGTAAAATTGGACAATAATTATGGGACGGAGGGAGTATGTATTATGTACAATTCGAAATATCAATCAACCAAACAGTAGACTATATGGTATCTTTCATAGTTTAATCACCGATTGCTTGGATTGGATTTCTGATTTTATTTAGCCGTCTAAGCAACACCAACCCACGAAAAATGGGATCATGTACTGTTTGTTGTTTTGCCTGTTGAAGTCAACCATTTTTTGTTGTTTTGCTTATGGAAGTCCACAATTTTGAAATTTTAGACATCCCTACTAACATCCATTTTATACCTAGTTAGAGTTATAGCGACCAAATTAAAAACCTATCTCAAGATTAGTCTAGACGTCAGCTAAATAATCATCAGATGTTTGTTTGGTTATGATCTTCGGAGGTTTACCAAAAGTTTGATGAAAGGGTGGTTTACTTTAGGTTTTGAGAGTAAACTCTAACTAATTTAAACATGACGTGATATATTTTTCACGATAAATTTAAAGATTAATTATTAAAATTCGTTAACACTCAACTTTTAAATGGTAACGTTGCCCTTAATATTTTCGAAGCCGTATGTGGATTGTGGTGGCATAACCATTTTTGAAGAGTGAGACATGACTCAGTTGTTTTCCAAAATATCAAAGCAAAATTCAACAATACTCTTCTATTTTAAACTTTTAAACATAACAATGTCAAACCATGGGTCTCCATATGAAAATTGATACTCTATGCATTAATTCAACACGCATATATTTTAATCTGTTTAACATTCTATTAATTAACAAATTTCGACAAAAAATAATGACAAAAAATTCTGTATGCCACTTTTATATTACACTCTTTGCGGCAATATTCGAATAATCAGTGTCCAATCCACGAGTACAACAACGGTGAACATTGAAATCCAACAATTGAAAATTTCATCATTAATTCTCAATTGAGATTCAATCGTTGGCAATTTTTAAGAATTAGACTTAGGCACTTGGGATTAAGTGCCAGTTGGGTTTCCAATTGTACGTTTAAATATCTGCCCCGAATTGTAAGCATAAATTCATTAATGGCGTCGTGTAATAATGTGTATTTAGATAAGTCCAATGACTCGAAAGGCTAAAATAAAACATGCCGTGCTTAGAAATCCATAACCATTGTTTTAATGCCGTTGAAAGATCAAATAAATGCTGTTTGGACTTGGACCCAATCATCAAGAAATCCCTTTCAAAATCAATGAAAAAGAAATTGAATCAGAAAGTAGCAGCGGTCTTACGAGTTATGACCAGAAATTAGATCCAAATTTGTCTAGGACGATTATGGTTTCAGAATTGTGAAGACCATTTCAAGAATTAATAAGAGTATAAGACAGTCGCGAGTAGAATTTGAAGTAGAGAACAATTAATCTTAGATGGTTACATATCGTCTTTCATCTACGCGTAATGGATAAATGAGATAAGACCAACATAACAAAAGAATTTGTTAGCATCAAGGATATACAAAAATACACAATATATAAGGTTGATGAACCGTTGGATAGAGTTAGAGTGCATTTGTGCCATGTAAAGTTATAATTGGAAATCCAAATCTGATAAAATGTAGTAATAATTTAACATAGGTAATGATTTTAATTTTTTTTTTTACATACATATTCGGTATCCGGTCGTTATCGGTACACCTATGAGTGTCGACTAATCGCTGACTAATCCGGACTCGAGGTAAATAATCATTTTAATTCGAAACAACAAAAAAAGATGTGAGAAATTATCGAGTAAAATAAAAATATTATCCGAATCGCCCCAGTGGTTTCGGGAGGGAGGGCCCATTCTGAAACACCCAGGATCGATTCCCTTGGGGCAAAATGGGAGGGGGTTGATGGTTAGTGGGTAGGAGGGTAGAGTAGGTAGTCCGAAAAAAAAAATTTGAAAACATCATCACCAAGAGACGAAATAACATTTTCATAGGGAGTTAGGGACTATATAAAGCAGTCGGCCCATTAAGTTTATTAGTCAGATAAACGACAAACGGCCCAGTTCATATCATATTTATTTTGATGTTTGCTGAGGAACGTAAGGCCTTCAGAGCCCATTATCTATCATAGTAGAGCTTTTTATCCCAAATTAGTCACAGTCTTGTGTACTTAAATTATATTCCGAAATTTTTTTGTTTTGATGAAGTGTAAAATGTGAATACTGTATAAAGATGCCTATGCTAAAAATCACGATTAGGCCAAAAAATCACAACCTTGGGAATAAAACATGTAAGCCCAAGTTTGATTATTATTGTATATATAGATCTCATAAGACATGCTTATACATATTACATTCGGGCCGATTTAGGTGATCCAAATCATTTTAAACTACTATCATCCACTCTGTTAGTGAAAGTTCCAATCACATTTTCGGAACTCAAACAAATTGAGTCACCACTTAGAAGAATCAAAATCAGTGTTACCAAATTTTGGACTTTTTGCACAGCTCTATATTTAGTCCTGCACATCTATACTCCCTCAGTTACAACAAACATACTAATCATTTTGGGACGGGGAAATGTATCCTATCGCAATAAAAGCGACAAAATGTCAAACTTTGAGATTTTTGCATAGGACTTTGGCTGCTGAATACTTGTAATATTTACAAAAGTTTCTTGTTTTTTTTTCTCTGTTATTTCATGCTATAGTAGCTTAGCTATGACACAGTTTTACAATATACTTACTTACTACTAATCATAGAGACTCAGAATATGTTCATAATGTTTTCTATCTAAGTTTTCAGGATCAATGGTTCCTGCGGAAGAATGGCTGGCCTCTCTCCAAAACTGATGCAAAAAACAAACAAAAGGACACTGCACAAATTGTAGTTAGGGAAAAAGAAAAATGCTCTCTCTTCAAATCCAAGATTGGAGGGGATTGTTGCATTTGAAAGAATTCACACCACTAATATGTGCAAAGATGTCTGAGGAATCCACCATGTCATCTTCATCTTTCACAACCACCTGTTAAGTTTGTAATCAGAACAAAATGGTGAATTTTTCGGTTTTTTTTTTTTGAGCTAGGTTGAAGAAAGGATGAAGATTTTTTTTTTTTTTTTTTAAAAAAAACTTACATCTTCATCTGTGTCCTCTTCTTGGTTGCTAATGCAGCAAGCATTTCTATTCATCTCCAATTCATCGTTCTTCGCGAACCTCCCCCTAACGCGCGGCCTGCTATCTGCTAATGTTTTGCGGCAGGCATACTGCAAATTCAGTTTTCTGACATTAGTACACTATGATTTTTTCGCGATTCAGGAGCGATAACTATGAACAGTTTTCGACATTAGTACACTATGAATATTGGCAAGTCTCTCTTATACAAAAGATCAATTGAGAAAGAATGAGGGATGTCACCTTGATTTTCTTGCTGAAATTCCTTTCATTCCTCTTCTTCATGTACCTATGGATCTTCTCTCTCCTTTCTTCTACTGTAAGTTTTCCCACCTTAAAAGTTGGATCTTCTAAACTTGAGATTTCTGATGCTAAAGGAGTAGAATTTCCAGTTCCATTCACAAAATGGTTACTCTCATTACTGATTGCCTAGAATTAAACAGAAAAAAAAAAAAAAAACCATGAATCAGGTTCTGTTTTAGTCCTCAGCATTTCAATCATGACTACAAGGATTTCATAGAAAAATTACCTGAAGATCAGCACTGCAATTATAAGCTCGAGGCAGAGTATCAGGACAAAAAATCCCACCATTTTCTCCTTGGTAATCTAATTCTTGAGGTGGCATTTCATTGCCAAGGAAGAGGCAACCTCCACTGAAGATTCCAGCACTATCTGCAGCGGCTAAGGCCGCGTTCAAATTGGATGGAAGATATGGTCCAATTGAAGGATCAAGTAAAGAACAAGACGGCGATGAAGTATTATTCAGTCGCATATAAGGAGGCATAGCAGACAGGCATTCATCTTCATAAACAGGAGGCATGGTGTGTCCCATGAAAGGGATCACAGGATTTTCAGCAGGGAACTGTGTTAGTGAACAATCAGCCACATCTGGCATCGAGTTTCGGTTGTTCAGAGAAGAGTAATCAAACTGGTCTTGTTGGTTTGGAAGGTATTGAGGAATGATAAAACCTGCAGTAGTACTAAAGTCTATAGAAACCGAAATGTCATTATCGAGATCATCAGGGGAATCGTCGAATATTACAGAGAGATTGCTGTGGTTAATGCTATGGTTAATGTTGGAAGTGTTGATTGTGGTTCCAGGAGTAGTACTAATTGTGGAAGAAATCATGGCTTGGGTTGTTGTTGTTGTTGTTGTTGTTGTTGTTGTGGCGGTTTCCGGGGCGGTATCATCTTTAATACCTAAGCTGTTGTTGTTGGTGTATTTGTTCATTTCTGGTGTAAGGGAAAGATTTGTAGAATAGGAAGAGTGTTCTTCATAACAGCAATTTGAGTTGGATGCAACTTCAGAATTTTGAAGAGTTTCTGGGAACAACTCAGATTCGCAGAAGTCGAAAATCTGCGCATTAAGAGGGCTGGAAATCTCTTCCTGCAGTGCAAGAAAGGATAACAGTTCAATCATAGTGTTTCTGATGAACACAATTAGAATCAGAAAAGGACTTAAAACAGTTCTTGACGAAAGGAATGATGTTTATAGTTGCAGATTCTTCGTACTCTATTCGATTAAAAATGCTATTAACACTTTAGATGATATTCTCTCGTCCCAAAAAAATAATCTACTCTGTTCTGGAATACACGGAGTAAATATCTGAGTTCAGGAGATTCAAAAGTTCAACTAGGCCTCTCAAATGAAGCATTTCCAAGCACTAACTTTTTGAGATTGGCTATCATTTTCACTTCAATGTAAATATAATTACATGTTTTGAACCCACCAAATTTTCTTTCTATGTTCAGCAAAAAAGGGACAAAAAATCTTGAAAGGAAGATTGTTTTGGACGCCGATAACTGGCAAACTGTAATGAAATTGTGTTTTTAATAGAGTACAATAACGACATATGGTTCATATAACCGATACTGTACTGTGAAAGAAATTGAGGGAAATGTCAAAATTGGACAAACAAAAAGAACTTTAATGCACTAGAATAGTTTCTTTGTGTCATGCATGTGCAGTGCTGCAATTTAATTCCATTTCTCAATCAAATTGAGTTAAAGTGTCAAGACTAGAAACCTTAACCATTTGGGAATAAAAAGTTAAAATATTCCATCAAATTCCTAAAAGATAACGGAAGTAAGCCAATTAGATGGGATCATCACGATAAGCAACAAACAAAAATGCTCCTAGAAAGATTAGAAAGAAACATCTCAAAATTGGGATCTTGAGAGACTGTGATGGTGACAATTCACTAAATCATTTCTCCAAAGAAAATAAAAAAGTGAGAGAGAAAAAAAACTACAATTATTAAACTTATATTTTTTACATCCGCTCCGTCCTAAAGAAAGAATTATATATGTTTATCATATTAAAATAATTAAAAGAACAAGATTATTATTTCGGAACTGGAGGTTTTAATCTAGAGGACCTAGAAATTAAGGGATGGCTACTCAAACTTCAACAGGTGTAGCTAAGGCAAGTTCGATTATTCCATTGTGGCAATGACAGAAAGAAATGAGTCTTTGGCTTTCCATTGATAGCAAAAGGGTCAAGATTCGAAATAGAAGCTATGGTATAGATAAACGAAAAATACAACCACTAAATATACTCAATTTGCTGAATAGCCCGATGACTGTTTTTAATAAGATAAACGATAACAACACTAACATGTGACACATTAAACCCCCCCAAAAAAAACATGATTCTAAGTTCATAAAAAAATTAAACACATTCATCAAAACTAATGATCATCATTAATCATTTGCATGGACCAAAAAAAAAAAACGTTAATAACAAAAATGGTCGAAAACTCGAATTAATGCAACAGAATTAATTGTGTTCATGGAAATTGAAATCCAAGATGATGAGATGATCATGCATAAACATGCAGGAAATGTGACGAAGAAAGCAAGAAAATGAAAGCTCTGTAAAAAATCATTACAATTGGAAGCTGTTCTGGAGGTTGCTGAACCATTTCGTGTTGCATCATCTTGCCTTAATCTTCCAAAAAAAGAAAAAACAAAAAATAAAAACTCCTTCTTCTTCTTATTTCTTCAAGAAATTCCTCTTCAGACAAACACTCATAATCAGCTCAAAAAAAATTGAATCAAGGGTTGAAAAACAATCCCATTTCTCTGAAGAGACAACAAAAAAGAAGGAAAAAAAAATGTGATTGAATAAAGGGGTTTTCTTTTTTACATTCAGAGAGAAAGAGAGAGAGAAAAGAAGAAATTCAGAGAGGAAGAAGAGGCAATATTCATATAATCATCATGAATGAATGGATGATTAACGTTAAATTTTTTTATTTTTTACTTTTTATTTTCTAAAGTTAGTAGTTATAAATAACAAAAAAAGGCTGTAGGAGAAGTCCGTACCAAAGGAGTCAAACCGAGGTTGGCGTAAGGCCGCTCATTGGCCTCCTATGTTCCCGCGTAACATAGTTGGGTGAACCTATTGGATTACGACACGTGGGTTCATGTCCGAACTGATTTTTATTTTGTTTGATTTACTTGGTTTTTCTTTTTTTTTTTTTTTAATTTGTTACCCGAAAGAAAAGAAGAAGAAAAAAACAGGAGTCCAAGTAATTAATTGTGTTTTCTTAGTTAGAGGAATTATAAGTTAGTTACTGTCTCCTTAAATGTCTAACTAATTTACCTACCAAGTGAAAACCTATTTTATGTGAAATGATAAATGAAATTTAGGATCTTGTCCTAATAATATATAAATTCTAAATGAATGACTTCGTGTGTGGCATAGTATTTGTTTGTGAAACATTAAGGATATTAAGTTCTAGAGGATTTTTTTTTTTTTTCCTTCCCCTTGCTTGATGGAAGTTTAATTAATATGATACACCGAATTTTTGGTCCCTTACATTTATATAATATTTTGTTACGTTGTTTTTTTTACTTTCATTCACAAATATTCTTTCGGTCTCAAAATTACTGTTCTGTTTGGATTAATTTCTAGTTTAATTTATACTAAAAAAAATTGACAATAATTTTGAGATAGAAAGAGTATGTATGTCGGATCATATATAAGTTATCAAGTATCGGTGTGAAGGTAAAATTTGAAACCCTAAGCCCAAGATGGCGGCCGCCAAGCCGCTGGATGAAAATTTTTTTACGTTTGCCCAAATTCTCAATGGATCAAAGCCTAATCCACGAAAGATGCTCAAAGGAATCGGAAAGCCAAACAATGATGAATCCGTCATTCACTCAAATCCAACAATCTACAAAGGAGAACTGGCGTTTTTGTTAACCAAAGAGGAAGATGAGAAACTGGATGAACCATTCAAGCTTGCGTTGATTGGATAATTCCCAAAAGAGTGGCCTTCTATGGAATACTTATGGACACAATTCCAAAAAATAGGGTTCAAAGGGGAGTTCTCGCTGGGGATGCTCGATCACCGTCATATATTGATATGCTTTGATCAAGATGATGACTTTCAGAGGTGCTGGATTGAAGGGCTATGGTTGTTCGATAATCATGTCATGAGAGTGTTGAAGTGGACACCAGAATTCAATCCGAAGCATGAGTCTTCCATTGCGCCGGTTTGGATGAAACGGGAGAATTTTCTGGACATGGTTAGAGAAAATTGGGAACAGCCGATAGTGGAGTGTGGTATGTTAAGATTTTTCCTCAATCTTTGCCGATTAAAAATGTGAAGGAATGGAATAAAACTGAGTTTGGGGATGTCTTTCAGAATATAAAAGATGCGGAGGAGGCTATTCGAGAAAAGGAACTAGAAATTTGATCAATATGGCACTGAATCTGCAAGAATTGAGTTGAATCGCTTGCAAGCTCTTTTGTTGCTGAGGCTACATGAACAGGAAGATTTTTTGCAGCAAAAGTCTAAATTGAAATGGCTGAGAGATGGTGACGCCGACACTAATAAATTTTTCTATGCTTCTTTGATTGAAAAGAAGGTCCGGCTGGGTATACACAAAATAAGGAAGCAAGATGGTACTTGGATTTCTGATAGAAAGGGGATTGTGCAAGAGGCAATTTCCTTTTTTACCAAGCTACTTACTGCGGAGCAACCAGAAAATCAGGGAGATGCTACCCAACGGATTCTATCATGTATTCCAACAATTTTGGAAGCAGGGGATAGTGAGTATCTAATGCAGCAAGTCACGCTGGAAGAAATAAAAGAAGCTGTGTATGCCCTTGATCCCGATAGTGCCCCGGGAATTGATGGATTTGGAGGAGTATTTTATAGGCATTGTTGGTCTATAATAAGTCCAAATTTGATGGATGCTTGCATTGATTTCTTGCATGGGTCCTCTATGCCTAGGGCAATAATAAGTACAATCATCACTCTGATTCCAAAGAAGGTGACAGCTATGTCCTTTGCAGACTTCCGGCCGATCAGTATATGCAACTTCATTAACAAGGTTTTTACGAAAATCCTTACAGAAAGAATGAAGAGAGTGCTTCCTAGGTTGATTTTTGAGGAACAGTCTACTTTTTTAGAAGGTCGAGATATAATGGACAATATTCTTCTCACTCAAGACCTAATTCAGTTTCTAGATCATAAAGTTCGAGGGGGAAATCTAATACTGAAAGTGGACATGATGATGGACTTCGATCGAGTCTCATCGAGCTTTATGCATCACATTTTGTTGAGATTCAATTTCCATCTGAATTTTGTTAATTTGGTGATGAACCCGACTAGAAGCTAGTTCTCTATTCTTACTAATGGGAGCCCGGCTGGGTATTTTCAAGCTTCTAGAGGTATTAAGCAAGGGGATCCGCTTTCCCCTTATCTCTTGATTCTATTGTCAGAAGCTCTATCGCGAAATATGCAAAAGCTACAAGGGAAGGAAGAATTGTTTTGTATGGAGTGCCAGCTAGAACAGTTGTACCATCACATCAATGTTTTGCGGATGATTTGATCATCTTTACAAAAGGCTTAAAAAGTTCAATGCAACAGTTGATGATCTTCTTTCAGGACTATGAAGATGCAACCGGCCAGAAAATGAATAAGCAGAAAAGTAGTTATTTGGTTTCAGAAAACAGAGGGGTTGATCATATCGCTTTGATTGAAGAAACTTTGAGAATGCAAAGGAGTGTCTTTCCTTTCATGTATTTGGGGTGCAAGCTATACAAAGGGAGGAAAAACGGAGAGTATTTCAACATATTCTTGATGCGCTTGATGCCAAGTTATTGAGCTAGAAGAATAAGTTTTTAACGCAAGGTGGAAGGTTGTTGCTTATAAAGCATGTGCTATCTGCGATTCCACTTTATACTATAGCTGCCATTGTCCCTCCGAAGTCCATTTTTGAGAGTATTGAATGCAAATGTCAAAATTTCCTTTGGGGGAATGAGACTGGTAACAAGCGTCATTGGCGAGTTTGGCGCAAATTGATTTTTCCTTTATCAGAGAATGGATTAGGGCTTCGAAATCTATTGGATATTACTCAAGCCTTCTCCATGAAGTTGTGGTGGAAATTAAAAAAACAAGGAATTTGGGCGAAATTTATTGACTCTTTCTGTTACTTTGAAAGGAAAAACCATTTGGTCCCGAATTAACAAGGTTCATCAACTGGCGGCAGCAAATAGTAAATTAATCATTTGTGATGGATTGTCTTCTTTCTGGCATGACAGCTGGCTAGAAACAGGCATATTGTGGACTTCTTTCAGATGTTCTTCCAGCATCGGACTTAACAGTTAAAGATTTTTTTCCTTTCCAAGGGTTTTTTTTCTTGATAGTTTTTGCAGGAATACTTGGTGAACAGAGGGTGGACCAGCTACGGACTTTGGAGTTCAGTTTTGTGAATGAGCCTGACAAGATTGTGTGGAAGCCAACAACAACGGGCATTTTCTCCATTGCTTCGGCTTATGAAGCAACACGCCAACACAGAGAAGAATTTCTGCCCCTTAAGACTCTTTGGAATAAGTTTATCCCTTTAAAAAATTCTTTTTTTGCATGGAAACTTTTTACTTGCTTAGTCCCATTTTCGAAATCTTTGCATAAAATTGGTTTTTTCATGAGCCTTTCAAGATGCCCTTTTTTTGTCATGCAGCAGAGGATATTATAGATCATATTTTTTATGCATGTCAAAATACTATTTTAGCATGGAAATATTTTGCTTCACTCTTTGGCATATTAATCCCGGATAATGCAGGATGGTGGAATTGCTTGCAAACTTGACAAAAAATGGGGAGCTATACCTCGGCAAAAAACTCCATTCTAATGGTCACTCTTGTTTTCCTATTATGGGAATCTGGAAGATGAGGAATAAAATCCTATATGATAATGTTAATTTTTCATTAATTTTTTGCAAAAATAAGTGCTAACTAATATTTCGAATATGCTAAGTGTACATGATTTGCAGGCAAGAATTATAGCGGAATCAATCGAGTTACAAAGCTTATTCGAGTCAAGGTGCGAAAGCCAAAATGAAAAGCAACGAAGGTCCTACATTGGCAACCTCCAGATCCAAGAAAAATTGTGCTAAATACAGATGAATCAGTTTTTGGACAACCTGAAAATACAGGATGGGGATATGCCATCAGAGGAGAAAGAGGAACTTTTATTTCTGCTGGGTGCAACAGTATGAGAATTGCAACAAGCTTTGAGGCAGAGCTAGCTGGAATTTTTATGGCCTTCAGACCTATGAAGAAAAAGGATTACATCAAGTGATCATCCAAACAGATAACATCAGTATTGCTTCTTTATTACAACAAGGCAAAAATTTTCCCTGGAAACAATACATGCTCATGAAAAGAGTTCAGGAAAAAATGCGCTCTACAAATTCCCATATAGTCCATATCTATCGTGAGGTAAACAACGTTGCAGATGAACTTGCAAGACATGCCTCAATGGGAAGCACAATGCAATATCATTCTTCGGAGTCTCTTCCAACAACATTGAAAGGTAAACTTTATCTAGATCGGAATAATTTCCCATATCTAAGAACTAAGTAGGTTTGTAGCATAGTATAGCCACAATCTAAAGATGTCATGGGATTTATGTTACAAATCTTTGTAAGACATTCTCTTAGTTATAGTTTTTTAATTCTTTTTTTAGCATTGAACTGTCAGGGGATAGTCTTTAAACTATCTTTGTAAGTCAGTTCATAGATCTACTATGTTAGAGAACCATCATGGAGTTTTTAGAAAACTTTCTGTAAGACGGTTTCTTTCATTTCGGGTAAGTCTTAAACACTGTCCTTTATGATTTTTTTCCTTTATATTAATAAAATCGGAGAGATGTCCATCAGGTACCGCCCTAGTTCTTCTAAAAAAAAGGTAAAATTTGTTACGATCGTCCACAACGGTAGCAAACC